CACGTTGAACTTTATACAAACAAAAATCTGTCTGAGGCGAACAAAGTTCCAACAAAAAATTGTATAAAAGTTTGTATAAGATATCATATCTCTCTGAGAATACCCCAAAATCACGCACTAGTAACAAACCTGCACCTGTATGTAAACTAGTTATTAAATAGTTAAATACTGCACTGATACATCTTAAGTCGTTAAAAATCAAGATAACGTAGTGAAGCAAACAATACTATGTATAATATATATATTAACACCCACTTTTCACTATTTATGTTATAAGTCCCATAAGTAGTGAGCCTATTGCCATATATCGGGCATAATTTCAGACTCCGTACTACCACTGAGAATTTTTTTAAAACCCACTTGCGATCACTCGGCCAACGCAGGCAGTGCTGTGAAAGAATGAAACAAACCCACTTTTTATAACTTTACACAATATGGATAGGTAAGGATAGTCACTTCGTCATACGTAGGTAGACCTACAATCTGAAATTCAGTTAGCTTTGTTTTAGATTGTAAAGCAAGATAACAAACATTACCAATGAGTAGAAATTGTAGAAGCCTTATTAAGCACGTAAATCAATTTCGTTCTGTTCCAATTCAGTGCTATTATTTGGAACATCAAAGATTTTGACAAAAATGGAATAATTATTATGATTAATTGAAAGAAGCTCTGGATACGTACATATGACATCACATAAATTATTCCATTAAGGAAAGGGACCACAATACACGTATTTGTAGCCATTATGTGAGCACGTACCTACTACCCACAGAACAGAAAATGTTATTCTCATTTTAATTGGAGCCAGCTGATATGAAATACCAAACACACTTCCATCAAATGGCTTCTTTTCGAACATATCGATTCAATCGTTCCAGGAGTCCCAGAAATATGTTTACAACAATACCAATCATGTGAATAAACTACAATTTTAAAATATAAACAGTTTAAGTTCTATCAATGATTTACAAAAAATACATTGCCAATGGTCCCAAAAAGGAAGCTTGAAGGACAGATTACCGGTGCTCCGGCTCGAAGTGAAGGACTACTCCTGCACTTCTTACGAACGGGGTGGTTTTTAGTCAGATAGAGTCTGACACTCCCCAATGATTTCCCACCTTAAAAAAAGGCCGATTAATCAACCGTCAGTTAATTTTTAATGCAGAGTAAAATTGACATTTGGCAGTTTTTAGGATGGAAGAATTGTCAAATATTCGCAGTTACTCCTCAGTTAAAATTTATCTGGCGTTGGAAAAATCGGCCCTTACCAAAAAAAACAATTGGGTATTGTCCAAGCGGCCCCCTCTCCGATCCTATGCTTTTCGTAACCACTTAACCCTTACAAACTAAACTAATATTAGTCACATGTTATGCGGGCTCTTGTTATTGTTAAACGTCTACTGACAACATGTTATTGATTAAACACATCTTATCAGCTTTATAGCACCCCACACTTTCCATTTGGGAAAACCTCAGTGTATATAGTGCTGCCTAAGTGGTATCGTGTAATCCTAACGTCAAACAATATGCGTATAAAAGCAGCGTCTTATTTTACAAAACATTATTAACGAAGTGTAACTGTCAGTAATACGAACTCGAATAATAAAACGAATATCTTCAAAATGTCTTCGAAAATCGTTCTCATTGTTTGTGTTGTGGTAAGTAGTCACAGAAGTATTAACTGAAATCTTAGAGCTCTTCCTAAAATGGCTCTTATTTTTAGACCCCATTTTTCCTCGAGTAAATTGGGGTCAACACTAAGTTTTAGGTCAGATATCTAATGTTGTGGAAACTGAACAAAACACGTTCCTCTGAAAGCAATAGAACAATAAAAAAATATTACATTTTGCCAGTTATGTGTTGAATCGCATCATCATCTTGGGGTGAGCCCATTATCACATTATTCATAGAAATTTAAGACGTTCACTAAAAACATTCAATCATCATTCATCCAACAGATCGCTGTAGTGGCTGCAGTTCCTGCCCAAACTGGAGGTGGTGCTGGACCCTGGGCTGTTGCTGGTGGTTGGGGTGGAGCCGGTGGAGGAGCTGGTGGATGGGGACCAGCTGGTGGTTGGGGAGCAGGATGGGGTAATGGAGGAGCCAACCCTTGGATCCCACCATGGGTAGCCAGCGCCCCATGGTACCCACAATGGGTTCCTTGCACCACCGTTGGCAGTTCTTGCCAGGATTGTACCACTAGGTTGGTGTGCACTAAGGTCGGAGGCCTGCAGCGTGCTTGCACTGACCCTGCCCTGCCCTACTGCAACCTTGGAGAGTGCTCTGCTACCCCTTCGGCTGAGTGTGCTCCTGCTGACGACGCCAGCGCTGATGCCGCTGCTTCTTCTCCAAGTGAAACCGCTGTCTAATCAAATTTGATGCATTCAAGCTTTTCGTTAGTCGAACTTTTAGTGTTCCAATTTTAAATACTCTATTTGACAATAATGACTGTTAACTATCTATTTTTGTATATTAGAAAAGTTTTCTTTTATGAATTGTTTCAAATTATTTAGTGCAATGCGTTCGTTTGTTTAATAGTTTATTAGTTTGGCACAATATTAGACTAGGTATTGTAATCAAAATTGTTCTCATAAAATACATTAGCAATTACTGTGAGTTTACGTACTTTTATTTAATTATTACTACCTCTAGATATTAATTCGTTCAAATAAATTATTATTTTAATAAAGTTCTGTATTTTCATTCTGAAGTATAAAGTCTCTTTAATATTGAAATAGTACCTAATTATAACTGAAAAGCAATACGTTATTTTTACCGACTTTATAATAGGTTGATTGTTTTTCTTTTTTTTTTGTTCGCCGATTACTCCGCCGTTTGGGAACCGATTTCCAAAATTCTTATTTTGTTTGAAAGGGTATACTTGCACCTACCATTTAGCATCACCCAAAGGTCAGACTAGTAGAAAATGCCTACGGCAATAAGTCCACCTATTTGTACATTTTGCGCCTGAAGCATATTAAATAACAAAAAAAATAATACTTCCGACAAACAGGACTACATTTCCATGAGATCAGCATCTGATGATGGAATCCTAGGGCAACCGAGGGGAACGTTCGAAAATTGTAGAAGCGAGTAATGCGTCTATTATGTTTTTCAGTTAGAATTTTTAAACACTACAATTTGATTAGGGTCTGTAGTCGACTTGATTGTGGAGCCGGCTTATATTAACTACCTTGTGTTTGGGCTTGATTAATTTGTATTGATGAGTGTATTGAAGTGTGTTTAACGAATGGAGTTTCTTGCTCGTTCTTCTCCACTCGAATCGACATTTTGGAACGAGCGCCTAGCTTCACTGACGGACAGACTGACAGACTATTACATATTTCATATTTGTTGACGTTTCAAAAGTACCAAATTATGGTTTAATTGAAATAAATGCTTTTGAGTTTAAGTTTGAGTTTGTAATTGTTAAGGGAACTCTTCAACGGTTTATAGTAACTAGCTTGTTTTTGGGCTGGTATAATTTGTATTGATTAGAACTTTGTACAACACCTATGTAGATTATAAGAGACAAAACATTTATGTAGTTTACACTACAAAACCGCCTTCAAAAAACCAAAAACTATTAACAAACAAAAAGCTAAAATTAATTTAAAAATATAATAGACGCATTACTCGCCCCTACAATTTTACAAAAGTTCCATCATTAGATCCTGACCTCATGCAAATGGGACGATCTCGAGAGTATACCCTTTCAAACAAAACAAGAATTATGGAAATCGGTTCACAAGTATCGGAGTAATCGGGGAACAAACAAGAAAAATCAGCCGAACATAGTCATTCGATGATTTCACCATAAAAAAAAACACGCACACGTAAATGCACCACTGACATGCTTCAATCATTTCCAAGGGACGTTACGTTATAAATACTAATTAACACGTCACATCGTACAATTTGTAAAAATACACGAAACATTGTTCTGTGCGAAATTCGAATCAGCTGGTTGCCCAGCTACTGCGCCAACCGTCTAGTCAATAGTAGCGCTTAAAGTGTCACCTCATTAAAATTAAGGCCGTTTGTCTTTAGTCTACCTCTAGAATCACAGGAAAATGGAAAAGATATGAGTGCCCTAATTGAAAATGTGGGAGAGCCATGCTTCGGCACGAATGGGCCAGCTCGACCGGAGTGATACCACGGCCTCACAGAAAACCGACGTGAAGCAACGCTTGCGTTGTGTTTCGTCGTGTCAGTGAGGTTACTGGAAGCACAATTACCCTCCCCTTGCCTAATCTCCCCAATCCCTAAATCTCCAACGATCCTCAAACTCCTAATCCCCAAAAGGCGGTAACGCACTCGTAACGCCTCTAGTGTTCCAAGTGTTCATGGGTGACGCCGATTGCTTACCATAAGGTGATCTGTCTGCTCGTTTACCGGCTTATGCCATAAAAAAAATTGATGATTGTACCTATTTATGTTTACATGTGAAGAAAAAACTACGTCTTTATTAGAATGATTTTCACTTTTGGATTTTCCTTATTAGAAACGTCAGACCATTTTCCCATACTATCAAACGAACTTATCGTAATCAACTGTCAAGATATGTAAATTAGATCAACATGAGCGACAGTGCGTCTACTGAATGTTTCCTATTCGTCATGCCAAAAGAAACCGAAATTACCAAAGTTCGAAGTTGTCACAAGATAGTGACTAATAGAAGTATTTTAGACGTTCATTACCTACTCACGATTGTCCCCCAAACTCTTATCTATTTGTCACTTGAAACTATCGAGTAGTAAAGCATTATGATAAACCGATAGCTGAGATGTATAAAAAGGAATGCCATTGATTTTAGTCAAATAGAAGATATTATCTCAAGATGGCTTCAGTTCGTAACGTTCTAGTTCTGGCAGTGCTGGTAAGTAATTCATTCTCATTTATTAATGGCTCCCGCGAACATAGTTTCACTTTGTAAAATTTTCTGAGCAACTTTGTTATTGTTTTCTTATAAGGTATAAGAACCGTCTCCTACTAATAAAAAACCCAACAAAAAAGAATTACGATATCTTATATACAGTGATTTATTTTATCTTCTAGGAGCTAGAAACTGCTCTCTAGAGACTGTCTCGTTGGCCGAGTGGTCACAAGTGCAACTGCCGGGCAAGGGGTTTAATTCCCGGGTCAGGCAAAGTATTACTGGGTTTTTTAAATATTCTCAGTAGTAGCACGGCGTCTGGAACTGTGCCCGGTAATAAGCTACAATATATATAGAGCCTATACAATATATATTGTTTAGGCTAATAGAGCCTATTGCCATACAATAGCCTCACCCCCTATTACATGGGACTCATAACATAAATAGTAAAAAGTAAGTGTTACGTTGTACAGTGGTATAACGTGCACCTCTGCCTACCCCTTCTAGGATAAAAGGCGTAATGTTATGATCTTATGAGCTAGAAACTAGGTAACAAAAATATCTGGTAGATATAACTATTTTAGTATACATATATTGTAATAACTCAAGTTCTACTAGGAACGTTTCACGAGGTTAATATTAAAACTTACTCCAATGTTAAGTTATAAAAGTCTCATATATTTCTCTTGCATAATTTTATTTGTGTTATTAAAGAAAATATCTTTTTTACACAAAAATGTAATCAAAAAATTTACATTTACAGTGCATCTTAGCTGGCGTCAACAGCCAAGCTACCGATGAAGAAGTGCCGATCAATGCTGATGAACTGGAAAATATCATTGATGAGGCAGAAGTCAAGAACAGTGACCTTACTTGGGTCGAATGTGACCCCTCAGTAGTACCAAGGAAGTCCTGTTACGATTGCAACACGAGAATAATTTGCAAGAACATCGGTGGTCTATTGCTCGAATGCCCAAAGAATTTTGTACCTTATTGTAATGGTGGCAAGTGCGTCAGCGAACCTAGTGCTGAATGTGCTTAGTAAATATTTTCCATTGAATAAATGATGAATATCACTACAAAAAGTGCTTTTATTACACAGAAATAATGTTTATTTTACTTCGAAGATAGGCTCAGGTGTTTGGGAAAGTAATTTTTTGTTATAGTAATTTCTTTTAGGTTATTGATGTCATAAAAAGGAACCAAGGGTATTCTGAGGACACAAAATAGACGAATATTACTGAACACGCGGTATTAACCTAAACTCTATCACAATTCTAGAAGGTACTAAGTCTTATATCCTGCTCAGAGGACCAAACAAAGACACACATAGGTATAAGATATATTTTTCCCAATTGTTGATTAAAACCATATACTGGGCACAATTCCAGGAGCCTAAGTTTCAAAACCCTGAAAATCCCAGTGACTAGGGACTTCAGAGAATAATTCAGAAATATCATGATGAATTTGGTGTAACCTAAACAAATTTGTGGTCCCAATAAAGAAATCCATTCAAACAATTCAAATATTTACTAAATCTATGACAACCACTTCAATGACTTACAAATCCTAATCTTGACGAGACGAATCAACGGATGTTTGAAAATAATCTACATACATAGATTCTAAGGTAATACGATAACGGTAATGATTCAGAGCTGTAAGGTTGGATTTCTCAATTTCTCCCACATGATATCTTGAGATAATCTAATCAAAAATCATTCATAAATGAAAAATGACAAGTAGCCTTATTTTATCTATAGAATGTTTTACAATGAATTCTTTAAATATCGGCACAAATAGCTGTTTGTAATATTACAAAAAAATCGAATATAAAATATTAGTAAAATCTAAGTACTAACGTTGGGTCTCGAACACCAGGCTGGCGTACATACTTCCCAACTCGTCATCACCAAAACAACAGTACTTACAACTCTGATTATTGTACCATTCTCTCTTATTAATTCTTTACTGAATCCTGATTCTTTTTGTCAAGAATTTTCCTCTAACTAATCCTACAATGTATTTTGTTTTTACCAACAAACGCAACTGAATTACAATGTTTCTATATGCACACATAGAATTGCCTTACTTGAAAACAACAACAGCGTGTGTTTATTAATACAACAATAGAAAAACCCTCCGGTTTGTTGGAGATTTCCCTATTTGTTCGAAGAAAGATCTTGTAAACAATAGATAAATCAATTAGTATAAAAGGTAAGGTTGCACCATGCACCAAATAGAAAGCATTCAACTAACAATGGCTCACTTTCAAAACTTACTAATTTTCTTGGCCGTGGTATGTACAACACTTATTTCTTCCAAAGTTTTATTGTATTGTATCCCCTTAAAATCGGGCCTAGTGCAGGCCATGATGCGGAGCGAGGGGGATTGGGATGCCGTCTCCTCCTTTTGCGAAGCAGTCATGCTAGCTAAGGAGGAGGCGGGACGCGTGAGGCAGCGAAGCGCTGCCTCCTCGCAACCCAGCCATCGCGAAGGACACACCGGGCGTCGGGGATCGCGGGACGATCTCCGGCCACCGTAAGCGCGGGCCTGCGGACGGCGAGCATGGGTGGCTCCCCGTCCGACCAGAAACAGACCCGAGCGTACGGCGCGTCGCGTTCCGCGCGCGCCTCAAAGAGCCATCAGACCACCACAGATGGGGCCCAATAGGGCCGATGCCGATTCGGAGTCGCGGAGAACCTAACGGGTAACCGGGGCTCCGGCTCGACGTGCAGGAGAAGGAACGGGGTGGTTTTTAGTCAGTAAGAGTCTGACACTCCCTCCCGCCTCACCCAGGCGGGGGCAGTCATTCGATGATTTTCCCCCCTTAAAAAAAAAAATCCCCTTAAAATACAAAGAAATATAACATTCATTTATTATTTCAGTGCGTGCTAGCTGTGACACTGGCTCAGTCATCCCAAGGGGGGCCACACACTTCTCAAGGTGCCCCACACACCTCCCAAGGTGGCCCTCATCAGAACCAGGGTCGATCCCGAAGACAAGCTGTAGCTGGTACCTTCGACATCACTCAATCAGTTGCGAACTGGACCACTTGTAACTACCTCGTCGACCCGAAGATATCCTGCCATGATTGCCATACTAGAATTATCTGCAAGCCGATTGGGGGTCTTCTGAAGTCATGTGACGACCCCAGCAGGCCACACTGCAATAATGGAATCTGTTCTGCTGTGCCAAGTGTCCAATGTGCCTAAACTTACGACTGAACCGATTTTCTGAACTCGGGCTTTGTTTTATTAAAATATTTTGCCCAAAATAATTGTTTATCTTTTTGGTTCTAAAATAAAATTCTTCTATTGAAACTATCATTGTTTTTTTACGCTACTTACGCTCATTTACATGTACTGAATAATAAGTACCTATCTACTATTACTATTATTAAAATAATTCCATGTAATCAAAATAAAGTTCTTACAAAGATGTTAAAATACTGGCGAAGATTTAAAAAGAGCTTAATTGAAATAAGTATTACAATCTTGAAGTACAAAAAAGTCACCCACGGATTAATTAGTAGAAGTAGCTGTAATCTCCCTCTGAAATGAAATAAAACTAATTAGTCGCGTACAACCTAACAACTAAGTACTTACTTAAGAGTAATGAAATAAGTATCCACTCAGTTACTCGGAATTAATTAACATCATGTTACAGGGTGGCCAAAAAACACATTATGTGATTTAATGAAAATTCCTAGCCGGAATATATTGCGGCGTCCAATATCTTTCAACCCATGTCAGCCACCGATACTCATTATGTACTCGTACTACAATCGAAAGGCTGACACCGCGAAAGATTTTCAATTGCTATTATCGTTGTAACTGGGTCTTTTACCCCTTATCATGTTTAAATATTCTTATTCTATAAAATATCCATATTTTAAAGGATCGTTTGTCTAGCAGGGACCCAAGTCTGAATCTGAATCCACTCACAACAGAAAATAACGTGAGAGGTAGTGCAAGGCACCGTTAAAAAACACCCTGAAATCTATATTTACGTGCTTACTGCAAACACGTTGTACTGACGTATTATACATACTTTTTACATACATAAGATATACATACATTATTTGTAACAATCGTTGGAACAGATAAAACTTTGTGCATAGCGGCATACGTTGGAGTTACAATGCAGTAACAAATGGGAAACAATGAACTATCTGTAGTTGAACAAAGTTGCGGAATGCGGCTTTGAAACTGTACGATATTATTCCATAATGATCTGTGAAAATCTGCTTCAACTATTCGATGTATATGAAATCCAATTGTAACTGATTCGAATTCAACTATGAGAAAATTAAAAGAAAAAGTTTTGTATAATACTTTGAACCATTTATGAAAAAGAAGTTTAAGCAACCTCAGTCAATTATTTGGTAAAAACTTGATAATCAAAGTGAGTGGAACATCAGGAATGTTTGTGGTATAAATGTAGACTGGTCGCTTAGGGATCAAATAACAGGTTTGTTTACACAAAACTTTTATATTATTAATAAACAAGCCTAAATGAAATTCCACCCACTACCAAAACCTCCTTATTATGTAATGGTTGACATTAATTCAAATCAGAAAGGTCACCCCCATTGTTGAAAATAAATTTTAATACAGAAACTCGAGGAGCGAAACAGGCATTACAATTTACAAACCGTCTTGTAACAAGACTGACAGAAAAATAATATGGCGCAGATATTATCTCGCGGAGATGTCAACATTGCTACACATATGCTATCTTATCACAATTTGTGTACCGACAAATCTTTCACGTTGATCACGTTTGTTTTCTACCTATCAATTACATAAATGTCACGACTGCGCTCACAATTATATTATGTACGTTTGTTCTAGGTGTGTGTCTGTATTCCCCCATTATGTAAGACAAGCGAGGTGGTGACGTCTCTATAAGGAATAAAAGCGCTTTCATGTTCAGAGCTGCGATTGTTTACAGCAAGCCATACTGTTTGCTTTTGGCTCATGTTTAGATGGACGTCAAGGTTGCATTCCATGATCGGAATATGTATGTTTATTAAGTAAAATGTACTTGTCATCAAAAACTGAGATATTTTTAACGCAGCGGAAACCACGCACATGTTTTCATTTGACATCTTTACACACATCTATACATATAATAAAATTGTAGAAAAGTGCTGTCTGTACATTGAAAATAAAAATAAAAAAAATAGCAGGGGCTATTGTTATGTCGATGTCGAACCCAAAAATGTAACTAACTTTTTTTTTGTCTGTTTGTCTGTTTGTCTGTTTGTCTGTTCACGCTAATCTCAGAAACGGCTTATCCGAGTTGAATGCGGTTTTCACGAATATATTGTGGTATACTTCATTTATGCTTTAGTGTTTGTTTCATGTCAATCGGTTCATAAATAAAAAAGTTACGTCAAATTAAAGAATCACGTCGAACACTATCTATCTATATCTTCTATCTATACATATAATAAAATTGTAGAAAAGTGCTGTCTGTACATTGAAAATAAAAATAAAAAAAATAGCAGGGGCTATTGTTATGTCGATGTCGAACCCAAAAATGTAACTAACTTTTTTTTTGTCTGTTTGTCTGTTTGTCTGTTCACGCTAATCTCAGAAACGGCTTATCCGAGTTGGATGCGGTTTTCACGAATATATTGTGGTATGCTTCAGTTATGCTTTAGTGTTTGTTTCATGTCAATCGGTTCATAAATAAAAAAGTTACGTCAAATTAAAGAATCACGTCGAACACTATCTATCTATATATCTATATATATAAAAATCAATTGCTGTTCGTTAGTCTCGCTAAAACTCGAGAACGGCTGAACGGATTTATCTTATCTTGGTCTTGAATTATTCGTGGAGGTCTAGGGAAGGTTTAAAAGGTGAGAAAAATTCGAATAATTGCCGGGAAAATCCTCAAAACAGCATTTTTCTATTTCCCATACAAACGTTTTCTAAATAAAATGGAGAGTCAATTTGTAATTTATTACCGCTGCATAAAGTTCAAATTATTTATTACGATTTATCTGAAAACCTGAAAACGGATATCTGACAGGTAACATTACTATGGTAACCAACCTGATGATTTGTAATTGTTATGGCGTCCTACTTCCATAATATATTTTGGCATCAACATATAAAAATGAAGTTCTGTGGGTTTTCAAGGAATAATATTAGTATTCAGCTGCATCAGAGATTTTAAAGACAAAATACGAATTCAATTGACTGAATACAATTTATTCATAGACTAGCCTCTGTCTGCGGCTTCTCTCGCGTTCTTTTAATGGGGTGAGGGAAGGATTTACAATAAAAAAATGAAATGATGCACGATTCTATGCTGGTCACAAATAACCCGCATACCAATTGTTAGCTTTCCACATTGAAAATTGCAAAATACCCCATACAAACTTTCACCTCTGTTTCACGGAAGTGGAAGGGGGTTAGAAAAAGACAAAAAGTAGCCTATGATACTCTCCATCTTTTCAACTATCTCAAATCAAAAACCTTCCTGACTCCGTTCTGTCGTGAAATACGGACAAACAAACAAACAAGCACATACAAATTTATATTATTAGTATACCTCTACATTTCTTAAGTCATCTGAGATTTGTGTGACAAGTGAGTTTACAAAGTCAATGTGTCATAGATTTTTTTTATACTATGGTATTAATATTAAGGTATGCAAAGAGGTTGACAGCAGTCTAAGGAGATAAAACCACGAATAAAATATTTTCAGTTTACTTGAATTCGTATTTTTTATATGTATATCAAAAAAACTAGCTAAATGCACATAGCTAAAAAATAATATTAGTCCTTTTCATTTTAGACCGTCAAGGCCAAATTCACTATGATAGTTTGCTGTTTTTTTATGGCATAAGCCGGTAAACGAGCAGACGGATCACCTGATGGTAAGCAATCTGCGCCGCCCATGGACACCTGTAACACCAGAAGTGCTAGAAGTGCGTTACCGGTCTTTTGGGAATTGGTAATTTGAGGATTGTCAGGGATTGGGGGGGCTGAGGGAGGGGTAATTGGGCCTCCGGTAACCTCACTTACACAGCGAAACACTCCTTTAGGTAACCGAGGGCTGGGCTCGCTGTCATTGCAGCGGAAAGTCCCCTCTTTAAAAGTGGCTTTAGAGAGGCCATCAATGCGAGGACCGCCCGGAGAACACGGTGGAGCATATCGTGGCGGTGTACCTTGCATGGGCTGAGCACCGCCGTGTTCTCAGGGATGTAGGAAACGGTGACCTCTCGCGTTCGGCTCTGGTTCAGGCCATGGAGCGAGGGGGATTGGGATGCAGTCGCATCATTCTGCGAAGCAGTTATGCTTGCCAAGGAGAAAGCGGAGCGCGTGAGGGCACGAACTTCCTCACGCCCCAGCCGTCGCGGGAGACACTCTGGGCGTCGGAGATCGGCCGACCACAGGCCACCGTAAGTGCGGGTCTGTAGACGAAGAGCAAGGGTAGCTCGCCACCCGACCAGAACCAGTCCCGTGCATACTGCGCGCGCCTTACAGAGCCATGACACCATCATAGATGGAGCCCAGTAGGGCTGATGCTCGATACGGTGCCGTGGGAGGCCTAACGAGTTGACGGGGCTCCGGCTCGACGAGCAGGAGTAGGAACGGAGTGGATTTTAGTCAGTAAGAATCTGTCACTCCCTCTCACCTAACCCAAGGCGGGAGAAGTGATTGGATGATTTTCCGACCTCAAAAAAAATCTCCTTTAGGTAATGACAACCCGATGTGTAAAAAACCACCAAAAAAACTCCTTATATTATTGGTATTGATTACGCTGTGGAAATTATGGACAATAGAGCCAAAGGGGTGTATTAAGTCTTATAGAGGACATTAATATCAACATTAAAGTCCATGTATCATATGTAACTAACCTAATATCAGAATACCTATTTTTTCATTTAAATGTTTGCGATAGTAACGCATGTCGTACCGGTACATATCAGGTCACATTATAGGAGAGAGGAAATCCCAAAATGACGGAAACTATGCGCTAAAAAACCAGGACTAAGGACGTTGAAATAAAGAGGGGCTCTTACCTTTTAAACCATTGAACCTATTTGGTGAAATTCGGTACAGCGATAGTTTGAGACCCGGGAAAGGACATCTAAAAGTTTTTAACCCGAAAAACCCACGAAACCGGGAACTGTGCTGTTAAAATCACTATATCTATTTGATTGAAATGCGATACAACATTGATTTGCAAACATAGAATAGTGAAACCTCACGAGACGGGCACTGTACGGGTAAAACCTCTTATGGGATTGTTTATTTTAGAAACCACGAAAATAAATTCATTTCTCAATAAATATAACCTAGGTACTGAATCGATTGTGTTGATATTTTGTTCCAGTTGTACAGCCGTAGAATGTACCTTGACAAAGACTAATTTAAAAACCCAATTTATACAGAAGTCGCTATTTCACGCGGACGAAGTCGCGGGTAACAGCTAGTATGTAATATTACTGTCAGGTAGTCCAACCTTGTACGTACTGTTTGCACCCTACATACAACGACTGCACATTGTATACGTGCTGTCACGAAAGTAATTGGAGAAAATTCAAGAAAAAGAAATCATACAAAAGCGAATACTTGGCCTAATTGTTAATAATTTAGAATCTCGTAAGCATTCAGTTACAAAGGGAGAAACGTTTTTATCGTACTCAAACACTTATGAAACACTAGCCTCTGCCAGCAGCTTCGCCCGCGTTCCCGTGATATAAAACGTAGCCTGTGTGTTAACTAAGACCATCTACCTCTACTCCAAATATCATCTCGATCCCTTCAGCCGTTTTTGCGTGACGAACACACATATGGACATCCTCACAAACTTTCGCATTAATAATATTAAGAGGATAGTAACCATAAGCATTGATTAAATTCCTATAAAACACATGTAAAGGAAAATACGCATAAATATAATTTATACGTAACTACGTTTTTAAAAATAAAATTGCGGCAGAAAATTTTCCAACAGAAGCAAATTTCTGCAATATGCATTTACATCAAAGTATACGCCAACGCGCCTGCGTCCTTGACATGACGTAGAGTAAACAAAACAAGATTTATTTTACCAAAATTATTAATTTCATCACGCCATACATTTCCTTTAGAAATACGCAGTTGGGCTTTCGATATTTTTTTGGTTTTTCAATTTATACGTCGGAGTTTTATTGTAACTGATGCAAGCTATTACTGAAATGAAAGTGTCACTGAATAATATTAGCTAGTTGTGTTTAGACCCCTAATTATGTAATTGTTGTGAACTTTTACAAACAGTTTAGAATTAAGACCAGAATAATGAAACAAAATCACCTAAACATGAAATTTACTGAAATACAGACAATTATAAAGGTGATGAATTCCAACCGATTTATTATCATATACAATAGTATCATATCTATTCAAGAAGTTAAAATCTCTTTTACCTGTGCAGACAATAACGGCACATGCATAATTTACATATACATAGTTACACTGAACACTTATTCGACAACCCTAACAACAGAAATGTATCGATTAGCATATTCTTTGTGTCAATCGTATATAAACCCAGCGACCGACCACATCAAACAACTTCTTCATCTGAAGAACACGAGGAACTAAGCAAACTAAAAATGGCTTTCGTTAAGAATATCTTACTCCTGTTCGCTATCCTGGTAAAACTTGTTTACTTAATTTTAATTAATATTTTATTTTCATTGTTCACTAATCATTATTTGTTTGCCTACAGATCCCTGCGGCAATCCTAGCTCAAAATGGTACAGATGTACCTCCAAGCTCGGATGGACCATCGTCGGACTCCCCCAACGGTGGCAGCACCGAACCACCGATGCCATCATCAGCGTCAGGACCATTCGACCACTTCTCCTTCAAGCCTCCCAAGTTCGACTGGCCTACCGTACCTGGAATCTTCGGCGGCGGTTCCCGTAACAAGAGGGCTGCATCTGAGCCTGTGGACGCGGAACACGCTCGCCAGGACCATGCATTCTTCCGCCGTGTGATTAGGTGCAACTTCTTGACCGAGGTAAATAATTTGAATTACAATTTTATTCTAGTTATATGTACTGGAGTCCAAGCATTTAATTTTTTTAAATTTTTACAGTTTTGTGTATTTATTTCAAAAGAAAAATCCGAAACTTAAGTTTTATTTTGTTTGGACCTTGTGTCAATAGGTTCACCTTTTACAATGAGATTAATATCATAACTATTGACATATGTATTAATTTTGAATTCTTCTACTTTCACAATTTTATTGCATCTGAATATTAAAACTTCCAGGGAGGCTTCAGGTGCACGTCTTGTAATACAGTCCGCCGCTGCTATCCTTTCAACATCGGCACAGTCTCTACTTGCAGCGGACTGTTCCCCTACTGCAGGAACGGACAATGTTCCATGACGAAGGGAGCCCTTTGCACTGACACTACATCAACTTCATCTACTTCCTCTACATCTACTGATTCTACTAGCACTTCTAGTTCCTCGAGTTCTTCATCCAGCTCCTCATCGAGCTCATCTTCTTCAAGCACCTCCACCTCTACCACCAAGAGTAAATAAACTGGAGAAGTTCCTGGTAAGATTTTTATGACCATTCTTATATTTAGTTACTGTTCTAAGTCTATTGTTTGATCATTTGCATAATTCTCTCTTGTTCCATCTATGACTATTGTTTGTTCCATAGAATAAGGAAGAATGTTTAGTATTGGTTTCATGTCGTTAAATGAGTTCTATAGAATATACCATCTTTTAGTCTTGCTCTTTTACTTAGAAAGATGTGTATTTCATTGTTTTATGACTACATTGTTTATCTTTACAGATATGATCGTATTTGGCAGAATAAATCAACACAGAATTGGAAATATTGATTTGTTTACTTATTGATATTGTTTTAAACCATATATTCAATAAAATGTATTTGAATTATTTAATGTTTTCTTTACTTACTTCTGATTTAAACTGTCAAACACCAAGCGGTCACCGGTCACCGCAACCTATTGTTCTATAATAATTGTGTCTATAATGACGGTACTCGACGAGTTAATGGCTATAGGGAAGCATTGCAAAATCAAACGATAATATGGCACGGTTTTCTTTATTTACAATAACACATTACTAAATTCAATGAGTATCATCAGTTACAATATTCGTTTTAAAAATATGTTGATTGATATCAGATATATCATAAAAATTGAAGATAAAACCTACCGACTACAGATATAATTTAAAAATTATTATCATATTATTATGGTCACACATAATTCATTTATTGTCGATTTTCCAAATCTGTCCTACCATATCCGCTGATACATTTTCAGCGAACATTTCTTTACTTCACGCTAAAATATTCAAAACATTGATCCTTTCGTTTTAAAGCTTAAGCTTGATAATAAATAATGTTCTAAGAAATTTCGAGAATATTATCAATTATTTGTCAAACACAGCTAGTTAACCCTATTCAATAGTTGATATTTAAAGATACATCAAAGATATGACTTTTTTTTTTTCAATACGATAACATTCAATGCCCAACGTATTCCTTAACCTGCACTGTTTCTCCCAAAATATATTTCAAATCTATCTACGAACTTCCTCTTTCAACCCACAATTTTTGTATGTTTGCTATACCTAGAAGAATATTTGTATAATTTCAGTATATTGATATAATCTTTAACACAAATCTTTAATCTCTAGTATAATTTTATATATTTGCGATTGACATCTTAAAAATCTATAATTAAAGTTAGGAGTACGATATCTGTCTTAAGCTGGCCAAAGTCGTTTGTTGTAAAAATGAGATCGCTTAAAATTAACTTACCATTAAAGTCATTTAAACTAATAATCACAACATTTAACATATATGAAATACAAACAGTTAGGTATATTATATTGTTCAGAATTATTGTCTGATTTATATCATTAATCCGTGTTCCCTACGTCTTGACAACGACATGAGAAAAAATCAAGATCACGATTTCATCCAGTTCCAAAAAGCAATTGGTAAAACTTCAATTTTTCATGCTAACCACTTTTTAGATTCCAAAATACAATCTATCATATCCTTGGAATTGAATGAAAACATGACCGAAAAGCCGGCACACTGAATGCACCTCAAAGTTCATTCGCTAGGGTAGCCTGAGCTGTAGAGCGTGGCGTCGCCTAGCGGGCACTGGCATAGCTACTGATTCTTACGACGGCTTGGTAGGCTGCTGTTGCGGTAGCCTTTCCGGAGCAGGATGTTATCAACGGCTGGGAGCAACAAATACCTCTTGCCAGACACGTGGTATGGAACTTTAAGCGACCTGAAGTAGTAAAACTTGGGCGTCTCCTTAGTGTAGGACTGCCAGCGGTTCTTGGCGAATGGCTCGACGTAGTTGGGTGGTGCGATCGGTGGTAGCGGCAGAGGGCTGGAGTGCGGAAGGTCGTTGTTTAGCGGTTGGCGGAGGATCCGACCGGTCGGGTGCGAGTGAGGAGGTACTGGCGCCGCCGGTATGTCGGCGTCGTCTGAATCGATTGCTGTGTCAGCTTCGGAACTAGACCGATATTCCCTACGGACAAACAAAAAATTTGTTACACACTACACCTTCTTTGAAAATGTCAAGGATATCTGGGTTAACGTTTTGTTTGGAAAATCAGTAAATCAGGAAGTATTTATTAAAAGTGTCATTTACAAATTGTATATAACTCTTTGTCTTTCACTAACGTTCAAAAGTATGGTACATTATATACATGTATAAGTTGTTGTACAATACCTATGTATTTGTACATTAGTATTATAATATTTGCAACCAAGTAGTTAATTTAATAGGGTAGTTTAATGTATGTACATAGCCACTCTGTATCCCGGTACACGACTAACTTCCGGCAAACTTGCAGCGACGACAACGCTAGCTTACAAATGCACGTATAACTCAGATACAGTTTCACAGTAACTCTGTTGCCACTGAATCACTATTCTGAATGGGAGTGATGTTCATTCACTTAACTCATTGTAGTAATTTAACATGCACTCACCTAATTCCGAAATTCTCGTCAGCGGAATGCTTCCTGTAAAACAAATCTATGTTAGTCAACATATCTTTGTAGAATAATATCAACAATCAATTTTTCACAAACATCAAAAAGTATTCTAACATTTATTTTTCAGTCCATTTTGTCTATATGACATCCATTGCATGTAGACATCATGTAAATTAACACTAAACATTTAGGCATGCGACGATGTGAAGGATCACCCTGTCCTCTATAACAGAGCCCTTACAACCTATGTGCTCTGAAGCATTCTACCGCATTCTGAGCTTCACGATTAATAATCTGATTTCACTCTAAACATCAATAACAAGAATGCACTAGTAACATTTATCATGCCTCTATACTGTCGTTTGTCTATACAATCTCCTAATATACTAAAGCACATAACGACTGTTTGTATTCTACACAACGATATTCGAATATTACGAGACCTGTATAATTCCTGGCTAGGTAACAACAACCTGGCTCGTCCTGATCTACTGTAACGTCCTCCTGAGTACCTAAACGAGGGCAATAAACCTAACCGAGCAAGAGAGCCAATATGACGTTTCTCAAAATTTTCGCGAACTTCATCGTCATCATCTGGAACAGAAGTAAATAAGACAAAGCTGTTAACTCAAACTCTACTCCTGTATGAGTTTATCCACAAGTTTGAGTTTGTGAACGAGCGTTCCATAATATTTGTTACAGTATTTTACTCACCTACGGAACGTTTCTCTCCCTCAATATCATTTTGCTCGATCCCTTCGTCTCCTTCTATAGGATCAGGGTAGGGCATCACGTAGCGTTTGGTCCTAGTAGTTGGTTCAAAGTAGTTAGGTCTGTAAAGTCCATGAATTGGACTACCGGCGAAGCTCCTCTTAAAATACGAGTTGTCGTATTCTTTCTGGTTGTAGTAGTCGTAGTATGGATCAAAAGGAGTACGCTTGAACACTTGAGACATTGATGGAAACATGTCTGGATTCACCGATTGTTGGAAATCAAACATTTCATTGACATCTAATGGATGATCAATTTCAGATAAAGGAGCAATAGGATTTTGGTAGAAGGGGAAATAGTATTCTTCTTCATTCGCTTCGTCCTTCTTGTGAAGCAGACCATTGCGAGCCAAAGCCGCAATATTGCGTTTGTCATTAGAAGGATTATACTGTCCTCGACCTACGCGGTAGCCGTCTCTAGCAAGAGCTTGAATGTTCCTCTTCATGGCTGCATAACTGCGGAGCCTTGCAATCGAAGCTACATTTCTTTTTTCTTGAGATTCATCTTGATCTTGATCTTGCTTATCTGCTTCTACATACGGAGACCTGTACGTTGGTAGTAAACCATTTTTAGCAAGCGTAGAAATGCCTCGTTTGTATGCTTTAGAACTAGAACTTCTCAAGTAACCATCTCTGGCTAATGCTGCGATATTTCTTCTCGGGAATGTGGGCCATTGACTGTCAGGATCTGCTGGCAAACTTTCCACCTAATGGTAAAATGAAGAAGGATATTATTGTCATCAATATACGGTGATAGTTGTACCGTACCACAAAATTAATATTACGACCAATTTCTGCATTTTTAACTAAATGTACACGCTACTTAATAAAAAATTTAACACACCTGATCAATATAAGTGGAGAATGCGACTGCCAAAGTAGCACACAGTAGGAGACAACCGCGGTGTTTTCCGCTGCTCGACCGCACGTTGTTCATCTAAGTTAAAACGAGAACATGAAATAACTAACCTTGAAATATTAAGCTATTCTTCATTTATGATAGAACAGCCAACATAATATTTTTAACTTCACCCATAAACTAAATTAATTTAATTTTGACCTTAAATCCGAAAACCTCACTCTAGATCAAACACTAGAACAATTCACACAATCTAAGATTTAATTACCGGGGCCACACAAGAGCAAGGCATAAATTAATTGTTGATACCGAACAAAGCGAGATCGTAATCAAATTAGTCGCAAAACTATTCAATTTGCAACTATGATTAATGGCCCCGTGACATTGAGTGAAACGAGTTACAAGTTGAGAGTAAATCTGTTAACAGTGCCAGGGACTCGAATGAAAGATCGTTAGGGGACGGAACTTGGATAATAGTCTGCCACTGGGATGGGTATGAAGTTGGCAGATTCAATTACGCGGAAGTCCGTTTGAACCACCTGAACTGCTTTGAAACGTGAGGTGTATGCAAAGGGTGTTTTTATTTCCAATCGTGTGCCTATTGCTTTTATCGTTTCACATATCACTCCGATAAAAAAAACAAAAACTGATTTTCAAATAGGTACTTTAATCTAGTTGGATTAATCTAGTTAAATCTATTTGTCTAAATGTACAACGTCAACTGTCAATTCAATAAAAAGCCTCCAAATGTTTTTAAAGTGAATGTTTAATTAATTGAGATTTTTTTATTACATACTCACTCATAACATAAAGTAGTGAAAATTGGGTGTTACATTGTACACTGGCATTAAGTGCCGTAAGTAATGTGCACCTTTGCCAACCCCTTCGTGGATAAAAGGCGTGTTGTGATGTTATGTTATGTTTTTTATTAATTATAATATTCGCGAGGTACTGTAAGTGTTAGTACCATGTACCTATTGTACCCATGCCTATGTTATGATCTCGTTACACTTATTCGTACAACAAAACATTAAACAAATAATTCGTGAATATTCTTAAATAACAAAGTTTACTCATCTATCTTGTAGAGTTATAAATCTGAGGTAATTTATCAAGAAACTTGAGGCTACTGGCTAAACTTTTTAAATACAATTTATACCACTATTACAATCTGAAAAAGGCACTGGTTTTCTAAAAAAAAGGCAATATTTTACAGGAACATCGGCCCTGGGGAAATCTATATTTATATGATGTGAGGAGATTAGGTAAATCCGACGAAGGTATAATCATATAGGGGATCACATATGATCCCATTATAATGATAATATTATATGAATCCGTTTGGATTTGGTGTTTTCGACCTTTAATCGATCCATACTTCATTTCACGTTTCTTGTAGAAATCTCTCAAACGAACTTGTATCAGGTGAAAACTGACTTGGGAAACAATCTTTTAAATTATTCCGACATAACATTTTTTCTATTGTGCTTAGTCAGTTACGGATATTTTTAATAGTTATGATATGAGTCCAATGTAATGTAAAAGGAAGCGACCCATACCAACCAAGGACTGAAGCACTATGGGCGCTAACGGACAATATTAAAAAATCCAGAAATATTTGCCGATACGCTAATAATCGAATTCAAACCTTTGATCAACAATTATAATCTGGCTAGTAGCCATTTAACCATCGAGCTTAACAATTCAAAAACTGATTATTAAACTTTTCTTTGCACAATTAAACAACAACACAACTGTACTTATTCTTGAAACACCTTCTTTCAAATTATGGGAAGTGTTCGTGTTTAAAAAGAAGACGTCTAACACAAAGCGAGTGACTAGGTGTCTAGAACCTTTGTCACAGTTGTCAGATCAGAAAATAGCCAAAAGATTTTCATACGAAAACTTTCAATTCCTCATTAAGAATATCATCGAATATTCTTAATTGAAACGGAAAACTTCGGCTATAAGGAAAAATTATCGGAAAAACTTCGTGACTCGAACCTTCGACTATCAATCAAATGTAATTTAATTTCGATTAAGACATTTCGTTTATTGAATTTCAGCAATTCAATTAAGTACTGATAGCTGATAATTATTATGAGATCAAACGTTTAATTTAATAAGTGCTGACAGTTTCGCGGTTTAGGTATAACGTCATTTATTTTTTTGGTAAGATGAAAATTGACGGTAATTGGTTGTGATTACTGAACAAAATATTTTAAGGACCTAATGTCGGAATACTGAAACGTTACTCAATTTTAAGTCGCGCTTAAGCATAGTTCTGTCACCACAAATTCTTTGTAATAGACAGAGATGGCACGATATTTAAGCACGACTTAAAATTGAGTAACGTTTCAGTATTCCGGCGTAAGATAAGTAGATAATTACTTACGTATTTGTATACAAAACAGCGTAAGGGTGCGGGTTCGAAACCTACCAACGGCAAGTACCAATGTGACTTTTTCCGAGTTATATGTACTTTCTAATATTATCTAGACACCACTGATAAACGATGAATGAAAAACATTGTAAGGAAATCTGGGCTTATAATTTCTCATTATAAGTCTGTAATCGCCAACCCGCATTGAGCAAGCGTGGTGATTAATGCTCAAACCTTCTCAGTGTGAGAAGAGGCTTTGCTCAGCAGTGGGCATTTAGAGGCTGTTGATGATACAAAACAGCTTCTAAAAGAAGGTCTGTGAGGCTATAAGAGATTGATATTAACAATGACGATACCTGTACCAATTGTAGTGATTAAGAATACTATCATATTAACATTTTTTATTCAGGGGCCTACTCGTTTTACCCAAAATTAACATTGGATAAATTACGATTTGTAACGACTGGCAATAACATAATTTGTTAAAAATAGACATTGTTTATAGACGATTTAGAGTGCATAATATCATAACCAGGATAAACATTCCTCGTTTCAGTTATTAACTTGTTTGGCAGTAGCGCTGACTAGAAGTTCATTCGCGATTAATTTATTATGCTGGCTAAAGTTTAAATTACATTTTCCTATCAGAGAACTTTATTGATAGCCTTAGTAATAAACTTTCTCTATATAGTGAGTCACCACGGACAAGTTTAATAAATAGTTTGAATAAACTGATTTTACATGGATAACTGCCCCGACTTCGCACGGGTTTTACGTCTTTCCCAATGACAATTCTACAATATTCTTTTGAACAATATCTAATTATTTTTCTGTGTAATAATAAAATTCATCCTGACGGTAATGAAAGTAACAAAATATATTAACTTAGTTTTGTACAATCGTTTAAAAGTTTTATGCCTACCTACATAGATTTCGACGATATATTTTTGGTTTTATTAGATTTATATCGATGTGATTCGTGTTACAAACGAATAATGACATTCGGAACAGTTTTGGTGAGGCTATAGAATTCTTAATAAAACAATACTGAGTAGATATCTGCGCTTTATAAACTTTTAACGAGTTATTGAAAACAAAATCTTAACTGTGATTTTGCGTTTTACTTACCCGACAGTTATGAAGTTATGTATCTTTTATTTAAAATTTATTTACTTTGTTAAAAATTACTATAAAATTATATTATTAAAAAAATTACTCAAAAATAATGCGGTAAGTATTGGTTTTAGGACTTATTTAGCATTATTTTCAGGACTTAGTTCGCAAATCTTCTTAAACGGAGCGAAACCAAATAGTTCAGTTATAGTTAAACCATTTTAAGAACAAAAATATTAATCAACTTTCGATTTTAACACAACTGACGAGAATTTACTTCTGAAATAGAGAAAAACTTGGAAAGAACAGCGCTTTATGAACACTTACCTTTGCAGAGCCCCTTGCAGGGACAGCACGCTTTTTTCAAACTTTAGACCAACTTCGAACTTGACACTGCTCTCAATGTTAGTTACTTAGTTGGCGGTTCTTGGCGGGAATGGTTGTTGTACGGCATTAACAGTGCTTTTATAGAAAACTACATGAGGCTCGCGCATGCGTGTTACATGAGGGAGGAGCTTCCACACTGTACTCTACATGCACTTTAATTATTAGCTATAAGGTCACGCGGTTCTGTTATAATTAGTACATTTTGTGAATATTGTATCATGCAGGAACTACAGATAGGGTAATGGAAGACTGCACGGCTAACTCTATTATGATAATAAGTACAATGCATTCAACCACTTTAAGCTTGCTACCGTACGGCACGAGGCACTACGAAGCTGGGTTCGATTTACAGCTCTAGCAAGTTTTTAATTAAGGGTATTACACAGCAGAGACTGGAGAGATAATGAAAGTCAATTTTAAATAACATATCTTCAAGCCTATTAATTCCTGATGCAGCAAGCAGAGGTTCCCATAGACAATGTACATGGCATCTACTTTTCAACAGTTACCTACCTATATTCTGAGTTCCGTGTATTGTGGGTGTGCGTATTTGTAGCCTAGGTACCTATTAACATCAATTGAAGAAGGCATCATGCGTGTTTACTGCATTTACACCATATAATACCAATGATTGTTAGGTTATAGATGCAGAGTATAATATTTTTATACAATAGCAACGCTTGCTAAATGATGTTCTTATATAAATACTTCAGTTCCTTTAGGTTTTGTTATGCAGAGTATATTTTTATATAATGGCAACACTTACTAAATGATGTTCGTATTTAAAATGCTTGCTAGATATTATTCAAATATTATTTTGTAGATGTTTTAATAAGTTAGTTATTTTTTTTATTTTATTTAAATACTTTTACTATTATTACAAAAATATGAAAGTTTTAGTTAATTAGTAAATTATTTGAGTGAAACTCATTTTTGATAAATGTTTGCGTAGAATATGACAATGTTAGAGATTACACACTTTTGGCGGGAAATGAAAAAGGTGAAGGTGAAGATGGTTTCGGCTTAAATTGTAAAGTTATATTAAACTGTCAAACACCAAGCGGTCACCGCTGACCGCAACCTATTGTTCTATAATTGTGTCTACAAAACCGGTACTCGACGAGTTAAATAAGTAATTGAAAGTCGTTACGAGTCTTATTTTAATATGATTACGTGGCAGATAACCCACATAACATTTAAAATCCCATCGAAAATACCTACACAGGAAAACTTTTAATTTAATGAGGTTTAATGTCACCTTTTAGCCAAAGTTAAATTAATTTTTTGCAGTTAAATAAGACCCTTGTCAAGTGATACGATATATAATTAATAACATTCGTTTACTTTAGCCCCATACGAAAACTTATTTAAATATTATTTTACCTTAAGTACTTATATATAACTAAGTATCTACAAAGGTACTTAGGTACTTAACTTTGTGCTTTTAAAAATGGCCTGTCTACCAAGATAAAAAGAAGAAAATGTTGTCCTCAATAACATATAAACCAAGAAAAACCTTCGTCACAAGAAAATACTAACCAGTGACGCTAAAAATAGAACCTCATTGAAATGGCCCTTGTGCCCAGATACTATTAACTACGTGAGAAGCTTTTCCACTTGTTTAGTTTTGTTTTTCAAGTAAAAATTGCTCAGAAAAATTATATTTTTTTCTTTTGATGTCTGATGTCTAGCTAGGATGTTTTTTATATTAGGTCTTTTTGTAGGTAGGTATTTTTCTATATTAGGTATCTATTTCTATATTTCAAATTAAAGAATATATTAAAAAAAAAACTATTTTTTCAAATAAATAATTATCAAAAAATTGAAGTATTTTTAAGACCCAATTTTACTTTCCTAAATATCTGGTGTTGTAAATTTTTTTTTACAAAATTACCATAAACAAATAAAAAATGTTTCTTCAAAAATTATAATTATATGGCCTTACAAACATATTCGGCCAGTAATTTCGACATAATTAAAAACGTTTGTATAGGAAGGTCCCATGTACCTACATGAGATTAATCTCTGAAAGGAAAGAGAAGAAAACAAATAGTAACTACAATAATTGACTGCACAGTTGGTGCGGTGGCTAGGCAACCGGTTGCCATGCAACGTGACGCGGGTTCGATTCCCACAAGGAACAACACTTTGTGTGATCCACAAATTGTTGTTTCGGGTCTGGGTGTCATTGTGTATGTGAACTTGTACGTTTGTAAACACACCCACGACACAGGAGGAAATCCTACTGTGGGGCAACGTTTTCTAAAAGAAGAAATAAATAAATTGTGTTTACTGGATCATCATACTTCAGGGTCATATGAACCGATCACTGGAATTCGTACACATTCAATTTCCGGTCGAGCAAAGTAGCATGCAAGGTTACATACAGTTACCTATTATTGTGATCTTTTTTTTTCTTTTATTGTCCTATCCGCTAAAGGATATGATACATTCATGCTGAGTGTAAACATACCGCTCCCGAAACGCTGACAGAAAGACATTGTTTTTACAATTCAAATCGTTTTAGTTTTCATGTTATTAATGCGACATCAACTATGAGCAGTTGATTACAACTATTACATAAAAGAAACATTCAAATCGTTACACATGACATAACATCACGCCTTTTATTCGCAAAGGGGTAGGCAGAGGTGCACATTATGGCACTTAATGCCATTCTACAATATATTGTCACGAGTGCCATAAAATTAGTGAGGCTATTGTGTAGGTATTAAAATCATTACTTTTATGAAATTAAAATTTGTTTTTTACCTTCACCTGTCGCCGTTTTTTGTCGTTTACAGGGTGTATTATGTTATTTCGATCGACCTAACGGTTAAACATACAGTATTTCTCTTTTCTGTGGTTACATAATATGTCACCTTGGCACAAGTGGGAACTTGTAAAATAGGGCTTTACCAATAATTCATGGTAACATCAACCTTGATTTGATTGTTGTGAAGGCAATAATTATTAACAGAACACAAAAGAAAGTTTACCTTGTGTAAATACTAGCTTTTACCCGCGGCTTCGCTCACGTCACAAAAGGATAAAAAGTAGCCTATGTGACATATATCAATACATACAGCGCCATCTATACCAATACTTTTGTTTTCCCTCGGGAATATCAAATTTTTCCGGGATAAAAAGTACCTACCCTATTATTTAATCCAGACTTCTAACTTTACGTCTACAAAAATTCAAAGCAATCGTTTTAGTAGTTACGGCGTGAAATCGGAACAAATAAACAAACTCAATTTCCTATTTATAATATTATATACATTATATTACATTATATAGTAAGGATAAGGATAAGGATTAAGGAAGTAATACATATTTTGAATTACTTACGTAATGAGACTGGAAAATAGGCCATAACATAATCAAATGATTTGTGTTAGTTGCTAAAGCAGCTGTCCGACTTATGCTTAGTGTAGGTAATACCTGTGTAACAATTAGGTACCTATGGAAGTAAGTGACAGGATTTTAGTTCAAACAAGTTGATCGTGTCCGCGTCATCTCGCGCCGCTCCGCACCGCATCCCACGTGTGTATTATGACGTCATCATCATCATCAACAGCCTATAAATGCCCACTGCTGAGCAAAGCCTCTTCTCACACGGAGAAGGTTTGAGCATTAATCACTACGCTTGCTCAATGCGGGTTGGCGATTACAAACTTCTAATTAGAAATTATAAGCCCAGGTTTCCTCACAATGTTTTCTTTCACCGTTTGTCAGTGGTGCCTAGATAATCTTATAAAGTACATATAACTCGGAAAAAGTCACATTGATAGATACTTGCCGTTGGTAGGTTTCGAACCCGCACCCTCATGCATGAAAAGCGGGCGTCTTAAACCTCCGGGCCACCACGTTATTGTGACGTAGGGCACTTCAATAGGTTTCGACAGTTTTTTGTTTACGCGCCACACCTCACCGCTTCGCATTCGTTTCTAGATCGCCCGCTCAAGACGTAGCGTTGGTTACTCGCCCAACTTCTCTAAGGTACCTACTATGTTTAAATCCTATAAATCAAAAACATTAGACTGCGTTGTAAGTAACGCTTGCAATAAGAACGTCATTTGTGACCTTATCAGCGGCGATACTAACTCGAGGGCATTCCCAGGGGTCGGGAATGTCAGGGCCTGCTAGTGGTAACAAATCATGTGCTGATTGGTTGCACCGGGACCAAGGATATCCTGTTGCTGTCGTAGCATGATTTAAAGCGAGCCCTCAAGGAATCTTGCCTGTAATACGTACCTTCCTAGATTAACCTTCTTTTATAGATATAGGTACATACATAAATTGGTACTTAGCAATATTTACCTTTTAGCCGCCAAGTCACATGGGGGACTGACTTATTATTAGATTTTGTGTCTGGTGTAGACGACAGCAATAAATTCGGCCCCGTTATTGTAGGAACTCATAGCTGATAAAAACAAACAGACGAATTGAGAACCTTCTCCTTTTTGGGAACTCGGTTTAAAGGTAGGCGACACCTTCAATACTCAGGTATGTGCACCTCTGCCTGCCTCTTCGGGGGTTAAAAATGTGTGTTACAGTAATACATTGTATATCTAAAAATATTAGTATTTTTAGGATAAAAATATAAAACAACCTTTTAATTAAATAAATAAGTTATTTAAGTATTTATTAACATAAATCACTTTCGAACAATGCTTTCGTATCCTAAGAATTTTATAATAACGGACTGTCTTCACTTATTTTTGCTTGTTTCGGTTACATTTGAGTTCGCTGGATCGTTTGTATGTGCCTCTGACGTCACGGCCCCACCGTCTGTTCTATTCGGGTCATTCAATTGGGTAGAAATGACATTTGAAGTACTTTCTTGTGGTTTAGAATCCATGTCACTCGCTGCAGCAGACGATACGGTAGTCAAGTTTATTTTATTAAACTCTTGTTGTACATATGGTGGCAATGTGCTGCTATGACTAGTAATGGAGTGGTGGTCAGATTCGTTCTCACATTCATTTGACTTAAACCTTGAACAATAGCCATGTCGACAATATGCGAAGATGCCAGCACATTGTACTAGTAGCGCGAAGTTACCAGGGTAGCAGTGGAGTGCACTTTTGCAACTCAAGCATCTGTATCCTGGCTGTAAACAAAGAAAACCAATTATTTAAAATAAATTATATTTTGGTCCTAAAGCAGAGCCTTGCGGTACACCACTAGAAACATTCAATAGTAGATAAGACTGTATACACGCTTTCGTTACTAAGAGAACATACTTATTACAGGAAAGGTAATAAGACCTACGACAATAAGAATAAATAAGATTATCTAGCTCCTAAAGTCACTAACAAGATCGTACGGTCTCCATGAGATAGTCAAAACTTTCTCCCAAATCTCAAAATATGTTAAATATAGTTTACCTCGCTTCTGTAATCGCAGGTCCAAGGGTTGTAATGGGCTTTATTAAGTGCACTGGCATAGACATCAAAGTGCGTGTAATTATCTGGTTGGAAAATTGGAATCTGTCCTGAAACAAAAATTTTCTAGTGTTTTGGCTAAAGTTTTGGTGTTTCAAATAGGTAGTACAAGCACAACTTACCCAACTCCGTTCTTCCTTGAATGGGAGCCAGATTCATCTGTAAATAGAACAAAAACTTATAGGTATATCTTTTTAACTTTTAATAACTATATTTAACTGTTCATATTTACCAAGACTGTGAAAATAATTGGCAAGACCATTTTTCTAATTGTTACCCAATAAAACGTTGGTCGCAAACTCAGAGGCAAGTAGTTAGTGAAACACGTAAAACGTCGCTTATATACTGTGGAATTAATTACCGATGTAAATATGCCAAGATGCACGACAAAGATATTCACGAATAAGTAATTCACTTTAAAAAAAATTTGATTTACAATATTAATCGGTGGTCATTTTCATCATTTATAACGGTACATAAACTAAAGGAAAAAAGTGATGTTAATAGAATAATTTTACTCACCTACAGCATACTTACAGCTATAATAAAAATAAATATCTGAAGAAATCATTCTTCAAAATCAGAAAGATTGAGAAGAATTGTGATAACAAGTTAATAAGATTTAAATAATTTGAATACAACACATATTAACATCGCGTGCAATATACATAATTATTATGCAAGAGTGTGTTGACCGAACATTGAATAAAAAAGTTTATACACTGTGTAGTCACTTCACTCACTTTCCTACCGTCACACACGACTAATTACAGAGTAAAAAATCTGAATAAATAAGTACCTAAATAAAAAATATATTTTTAAGTATTGCAAAAACTGTATAGGTGCAAGTAAGTTAGTGTAATGACAATTGCCCACGCACCCACGTTTAGCCAGGATCTCAGATGTACCTAGCTAGTACCTACATCCATATGTAACGAGACCCACGTTTAGACAGTACCGTCTTTACCATAAAGGAGTCAGGGCCTGACCTCAGGGAGCCCCGAAGGACCGACAATTTCTATAACGGGCACACACCCGCTATACATTGCGCGTTAGCCGGCTGCAACGCAACGTGTAGCGAGTTCGATTCACACACCACACGGAGAAAATCTTTGTGTGATCCACAAATTATTGTTTAGGGCAACGTTTAACCCCTTATCTGCCAGTATATGAGACATAATAGAAAACACATTGTGTCTCGCGTATATGTACGTCCTCGGCATACCAGAGGTTAAAAAAAGAAACATTCCAAATATCCCGAATTATTGTGTGCCCAAGGCCCCAGCGTAGTCTGACGACCCTGCGTTTTGGCTTAGTACATAACTGGTGAGAGTGGATGTCACATTGTGTTTGCACTGCGGCCGAACTCCTTAAGAGATTTAAATTTGTAACACTCAGTGGGCGCTACTTAATTTACTCTAGATATCAGCCGAAAAAATTAAAATAAAGAGCGCTGCGCTCTCATCTCTCAGAACAGAAATTTGTCATATTCTGACAGTCACCTTTTTATTAAGTGGTTATCTCTGTGGTTTTTCACTAGCCTCACGGGACTAAGGCGTGAGTTTCCTTCAAGTTCAATAACTCAACAACTCTTCTAGGAAGACAAAAAGCGAAAACGACCAATCTCAGTAAAATATATATTGTAATTTATTGTAAAAGAAAAAGAAGAAACAAAATATAAAAATCTTAATAAAATATTACTCAATTTATAAACATTGGACGGTTATACAATAAGACACTTGATTTCATAGATACATTTTCTTACAAGCTAGTTTCTAACTGGCACTTCAAGCTATTCAGTTTGCTTTCAACGTATTTCAGATCATGGATTCTTTCCAAAGTATTGACATCGGATGGCTCACTTATATTAGCCGCACTGTCTTCTAGAGACATCTCCACGATACTAGCATTTACTGGAATATTCCATATATGCTTAGTTATTGTCGTATTCTGATTATTAACGTTAATAGTCAGTACATTTTTCGATTCAATATTATTCGCGGGCCTTCCAGAACCTTCTTGTCTTGTGTTGGGTTGAGTTGACTTGGACGTGGATAGCATGCTCGTCATATCGTTCATTTGATTAAGAATATCTGTAACAAAGTAATTTAAAAACTTATTATTTTTTCAATGACCATAACTTCCTTTAAACTTGAGGTAAAATCTAATATTTTACCTGTAATTTGTAGACTCGTAGTTTCATCCATTAGGTCTTCTTTCTCATAATCCCCATTGTTTTCATCGTTAACTTCAATATCTCTGTAGACAGGTACCTTGCACTGTCTGTTCAAAACCGCTCTCCTCAATGACGGACGATTTCTAATCGGCGAAAAGTTATACAGAACTGAGAATGACGAATCTCTGACTCTACCCAGTTGTTTGTTTACAAACACTGTTTCATTGCAAGCGGCGTTTTGTTCATGATCTCCCGAGTTACTAAACAGTTGATCCAATTGAACAGAGAAACTGAGTTCACTACACATTTTTGTCTTCAAATGTTTCGTTAGTTTCAATAAGGGGAAGTTTCTTGTTGAGGAGCGGACGTTGGTTCTTGCGAAGATGCTTCTGGACATGTTAATGGGTTTGCGTGGTGACTGTACGTAAGTATCGGAGTTCTTAACGACAGTGTGTGTAGCATTCTTGTAGCCCATCTGTGGTTCTTCTTCACCTTCGCAACCAAGCCATTGGTCCTCATTCTCCTTAGGGTGATGCAAACTGTGAATTCTTGACACCAGTGTGTAAAGAAGTTTCAATCTCTTCACAAGTTGATCGAAAGACACTTCTTTGTTATTCTTCGGCATTTTCACGTCGTACACAAAGTCGTTATCCGAACTCAGCAGATTACTAACGATTTTACATTCTTTTTGAACTGTAATAATAAATTGACATAATTATGATTACTTTTGTTAAAGGTAATATAGTTTATGTATACTTTCTTTAGCAATCCATAGAAATTTATCTGTTCTATAGAAAAAAGCTAATAATTATTTACACAAGTAATTCATACCTTTATCCAAATCAGACAGCAACACTAATAGCTTCTCATGGTGCTCCAAGGCATCTGGCTCACACTTGTCATACACATTGAAGAAATCATATACCATGCATCCCATGTTAATGACTGCACACACATCCGCATTGTTGTAGCTATTGTCTTTCAATACTGCCAGTACTCTCTGATGCATCATTTGTTTCGATTTCTGAAAACAAACAATAAACCAACGCATGAATTGAGATAATATTCATAATAAATGGAATTTCGGTTTAGGGACAATAGTAATTATTATGTTTTTCGACTTAGTCACGTAATTATTTGACTAGGAACTCGACTAATTTCTAGTTTATCTCACACAAGTTATAAATAGAATATAAATAATTATTGTTAAATTAACTAAAAACCGCGGATTACTCGCGTGATAATACTGAGAAATGGTCTACTAGTTGGGCTCTAGACAGGAGAAAAGCTACTAGATAGGCGCGCAATGCAAGTAACAACACCAACACCAACGCAAGCGCCGACGCTAGCCAGTAGGCTGCGAACCGCGAACCGCGACCATGCACGCTGTTCATGAGGTAGAGCCCCTCTGTGGCTCGAAACCAGTAGAGCTTTTCTCAGTATTTTCACGTGAGTAACCCGCGATTTTTAGTTAATAATGTCTCACGATAGTTACTACAAAAAATATATAAATTGTTAATAGGGTAGATGACAAATTTTTATTTTAATGTCCGTCTGGTATTTTATTTAAAAACGTATTGTTTATTTTCTTATGGAAACGAATAGTTCCAAAGATATATTGATATGAAATTTCGCATGACGTCACTTTTGATTACGATTTATACTCTAAATTGACTTAGCTACCTCCCACTTCTAAACTTTGATTCGTTTTATCTAAGTATTGTTTTCTTATACGACAAAATAAAAAATACGTGTCTAATATTTTTTAATTACCTAAGTGACGGACTAATTAGATTTTTAATTTTCATATCATATCATCATCCCTATTATTATTGTAATATCCATCTTACCTCAGCAAAAGCAGTTGGATCTACAATCAAGTACACATTATCTCGAATTTCTTGGACTTCATGCTTCCAAGAGTTGATCAGTAGTGTGGCATGGTGGCTGTCTGGTGACATCATCAATGCTGGGACCAAATGAGGGTCTAAAGCTTCCAAGCTGGCCAGACCACTTCGAAGTGACAGGATCCCTGGAAATTATAAAATAGCAATGATTGCGTCATAAGTCTTTTGCGGATTAATGCGTTGATATATCATACCGAAAACCTCAAAATTTGATCTTACAAAGTAATCTCTAAACATCGGAAATAAGGTCTATAATGGAGTAAGTGGAGAGCTGTCACCTGTGACTGGTCTGCAGTACTTAGTGATCCATTTTATGAGGAAAAGAGAAGACTTTGGGCCTTTTCAAAATACACATTGATGACATACTATTATGGTCTTGATTAATTTAACTCGTCGAGTACCGTCATTATAGACACAATTATAGAACAATAGGTTGCGGTCACCGAAGACCGCTTGTTATTTGACAGTTTAAAGCATTGTTTGGATGTTGCAAAAGTATACAGTATTCAAAAATAACTCAAGTATTTCTTAATTACAAAAAACTTACTATTTTGATCAGATGAGCAGGAAACAGCAAAGTTTCCAATCTGCAGCAACCTCTCGTTGTATAAATCAAAATCTTTTACAAAAGAGCAATTTTCCGTGACTTCATCTTCACTCTTGAGCAGACAAGAGCAAGTCCCTTTAGTGCCATTATTGAAATGGTCTTTGAGAATAGATATAGGAGACTTGTTGTAAGTAAAACAGTGTGCTACTAATGCTAGTAGGGCCGTGTTGGTGTTGGTCTCAAGGGCATACAAGACATCCTTTAGTACATCAATGAGCACATTAACATTTGATGGCATTATAGGTAGCTTTAATGTGTCTGGTGAAGCTTTAACAGTTGAGCTCAGATCCCCTTGTATCAATTCACCAAGTAGTGCTTTAGTTTCTCTCAGTACCTGCAAAAATAGTTTAGTTATATGAATGAATTTTTTTATGGGATAAGCCAGTAAACGTGTTTACAAATCACCTGATGGTAAGCCATCGGCGTTGGCTATAGACACCCGCAACACCCGGGGCGGTACAAGTGAGTTACTGGGTTTTTGGGAATTAGGAATTCGAAGATTATGCAGGATTCGGGGATTAGGAAGACTGGGAAGGGGGGTATTTGGGCCTCCGGTAACCTCATTCACACGACGAAACAAGTGTTGATTCACATTGGTTTTTTGTGTGGTATACCTCCAGTCGAGCCGGCCCATCCGAGCCGAAGCATGGCTCTCCCACACTTACATGTCATTATAATTAAGTCTCTACAGATATTCTGTACAATAGAGACCTATTTTTCTTTACATTTCTGAGGTAGGAGGAGGTAGTAATATCAGGCAGTGTGAAAGATTTCAAAATAAGAATGTTTATACTTCTATGTGGTTATATGTCCTCATACAATCCTCAGAGTTCAAGAATTAATTACTTACCACTTGACAGCGGGCCTTCACAATATGCTGATCATCAGCCAGACAATATCTGCACAGTGTCATTGCTGAAAGCAGAAGTTCGTCAATGGACACATGCAGCTCGCTCACACACTCCACCATCTGAAAACATAACAAATAGTTTTATTAAAACAATATTTAAACTATTAGTTATATCTACTGCCAAAGAGTTAAAATTCTATTAACCTATCGTATGCCGGAACGTAGGGGGCCGTTCAAGTATTACGTAAGCACCATGGGGGGGGGCTCTCTGTTTTGCTTATTTCGGATGATATGGGGGGTAGGGGAGTCTAGATGATGATTACGTCATTAGTCATTTACTTATTTACACGATTGGCAACCCTCATATTAAAATTTTAAATTAAAAGCAAAGACCAACAAAGAACGAAACATTATGGTATTTGGAGAATATTAAAATCCTTACTAATATTATAAATTGGAAAGTGAGTTTGTTTATTTGTTCTGCTTTCACGCCGTAACTACTAAACCGATTGCTTTGAATTTTTGCAGACGTAAAGTTAGAAGTCTGGATTAAATAATAGGGTAATTTTTATCCCGTAAAAATTTGATATTCCCGAAGGAAAATAAAAGTATTGGTATAGATGGCGCTGTGTGTATTGGTATATGTCATATAGGCCACTTTTTATCCTTTTGTGACGCGAGCGAAGCCGCGGGTAAAAGCTAGTTACAATATAAAAAAGATATAATTTAAAATGTTTACGTAAGCAAAGGGGGAGGGGGTAAGATTTTTGCTTACTTTTGCTGACAAGGGGGTTGGGGGATAAATAATTGTAAAAAATCTGCTTACGTAATATTTGAACGACCCCTAGATATACGCGAGACACAATGTGTTTTTTATTGTGTCTCATATGTGGACAGATAAGCGGTAAATGGAGCTTCTTTCTCATGTGACGAATTTATGGAATGCTAAAAAGCTAATGTTTCTGAACATGATCTCTATGTATGCCTATAGTTGTTTAATCAAACAAAAATATTTTTTCTATTACTAAATTAAACAACCAATACCTTCAGTTTGATAATTCTAGTACACAATGTACATTTGGAATTTTTACAGATTTTACATTTACAGAATTTTTAAAGTAAATTGTTTACAACTCACAGTATCCTTCCATTGATCATAAAGTTCCTCAGATTCCTTGTAATCAGTCTTATAGACAGCATCAGCAAGTTTACCGAGCACTTCAAATGTGTGGTCAATCCAGTTGACAAAATACATAGTGGTCACATTGAAGGAATCATTGCCACTCTCATTTGCATCAGATGAGGTCGAGGTTTTGTTCAAATAGTTCTCAACCACTAATAATCTGTTTATACACCATGACAGTCTTTCAATGGTGTATTGACGACTTTCCTGGAATTACAATAAGAACAATTTAACTCATTGAGTACCGTCATTATAGACACAATTAAACAACAATAGCTTGCGGTCACCAGTGACCGCTCGGTGTTTGACAGTTTAATGATAAGAAAGTTTTATTGTTAGTTCAATAGGGTAGATGCCTAATTTTTATTTGAAATGTCGTGTGACGTCACTTCTATGTACATTTTATACATAGAGATGACGTTTTAGCCCCCACTTCTAAACTTTGATTTGTTTTATCTAAGTATTGTTTTATTATACTACAACATAAAATAATATGTGTCTAATACTTTTTAATCACCTAACTGATGGACTAATTAGATTTTTCATACCCTGTCATCATCCCAATTACAATATTTAACCATCTCTTTACTATGGTACTTTGATTTAATACTGGAGAGCACTGATACTAACTGAGACTGCATGGTTGGTGCGGTGGCTGGGCTACCGGCTGCTGCGCAATGTGTAACAGGTATGTTAACACATGGAACAACTCTTTGTGTGATCCACAAATTGGTGTTTCGGGTCTGAGTATCATGTGTATGTAAAATTGTATGGGTATTTGTAAACACCCCCACGACACAGGAGAAAATTCTAGTGTGGGGCAATGTTTCGTTAACAAAGAAAAAAGAGCAGCCTAAGCCTCGAAGTTATCAGATACAAAAAATATAAAATATTGTTGAGGTACCTATACAATGTTTGAACATAAAATATGGTCATTGAAATCACAACATTGTACTAGTTTATTTTCTGTTGCTGTATAATAGTTTCACTTTCATAAATCTATTAAAAACTTTTACCTGAAGTAAAGTTTGATGACGAGCTTCGACTTTGAAGATGTCGAATAAACTGATCAAACATTTATTGATTTGGCTTGAACATAATGTGTAAACATCTCGAACTTTTGTAATATTCTCTTCGTCATCGTCGTAAGACAATAATTTGTTACGCAAACGTTGCGTTAACGGATGGATCTTGTCTAGTAAAATACTCTGAAAGCGCACAAAATTTGGGGTGAAATATTTATACATCATAAACTTTTTAAAAGTTATTTCACATGAACATCTATTACCAAGACATGTTTTGTAGCAGCACGAGCATCATGAGGAATGTCTGCCAAATCTTCAAAACTTTCTTCCATGTCGACATTAATTTATTAAAACTTAATATTTTTAAAATTCAAACGTTAACGATGAACTTGGATGTAAACAATAAAATGTTAGTTGGTTGAAATTTGACATCAATTGACATCTATTTACAGCTGTCAATGTCAAGGTCAATCAAAAACCTTACACAAATGTCCTACAATCCTGCAATCCTGCAGTACTTTCTCCATATATCCCTATTTATACAAAATCAGTTTCGAAAGTTACAACAATATTTGGTAAAAGTTCGTAAAATATGTAATTGGAAGTAGAAATCAGCAAATTATAAGACAGGGAGTCTTATAATAACAAGAAAAATACTAAACTATTCTTTTTAATATTACTCACGTATGTTCACATCCTTATCTTTGACAGTCAGATGTCATGTCAAAGAACGCCATATCCATTGTTATTTCGATTCCGGAATAAATCTAGAAAATATTGTTCTTATAAAGGTTTAGAAAGTACAGAACAATGAGTGAATTAGTTTGGGGAATTAAAAACGGCGATATCGATCAAGTAAAAGACATAGTAGAAAACAAGGTAAGTGAATCTACTTATGTCCGTAAATCGGTTATTTTCAATGTGAAGATTTACTTAGTATGTAGTTGGCAAGAGAAAGCAATGTTTCTCATTAATTTGCACTAATATTCTATTTTTATGTATTATAAAAACTACAAGCGGAAACTCAATTCTACATCGTTTCCAACTAATATAATCCTAAATTATTGTGCAATAATGCATTGTATGAGACTGAATTGGAATAGACTTATTAAAATGATTACTGCCTAATTACACGCCCTCGCTACAGACATGGGCTGATTAGAGTCATTGCGTCTATATTCCCCACAGTAATTTATAGACCTCTTTTAAAACACAACAAGACTTACCTATGTATTATATCATACTATTTCAGAAAATTGATGTCAATGCACTAATTGATGGAAGGGTCCCTCTTCACTATGCTGCTGACTATGGTCAGACAGCTGTTTTGAACTATTTGTTGGACAAAGGAGCAGACCCTAATGTAAGTGGAAACAGACAAACAACACATGTGTAAACAAAGACAATACTTATTTATCTAACTCAATTGTACATTTCAGATGTTGGACAAACATGGCATTTCAGTACTGTTAGCAGCAATTTGGGAAGGTCACACCGACTGTGTTAAAACATTACTCAAAAATGTAAGTAACGCTTCAAATGAATCTCTTTGTAAAATTAATATGCATGACTTGCAATTTTACAGTAATGGGTTGCAATAATAAAATTAATGTTTTGCCAGTAAGCCTTGAAATTAAATAACAGTTATTGTTAGTCATACACTTTCCATTGTAAGATCTGGAGAATATGCCAATTCTATAAAACTGGATCAGGCAACTCAAGTATTAATTATTTTGGTAGATTCTTATTAGTAACTTGTGTTAACTTACAGGGTGCATCTAAAAACGGAAAGACCCCAGATGGAACACCATACATCGAAGCTGCAGAAAAAGATGAAATCAAGGAACTTCTCACATAGAAATGAAATCTTTTATACCAGAACTATATAACAAGTAATCGCTCAGATTTGTTTTGATGCTAAGATAAAATCACTAAGATCAAACAATAAATTAATCCCATTATAAAATATTTTTACAAGCATTTATTTACATTGTAATGAATTATTTTTATACGCTCAACATATTGACCTATAAAATATGTATTTGATTATGCGTCCATTTAGTAGTGTGTGTATCTATAAAGGCCTGACCTCCCTTATGGAGGTAAATAACAGCAATCACCTGAAATGTGATGGCTAGCTCATCCTTCCAGTGCTTGCATGAGATTTGTAAGAAGCCCCATAATCTAAATTTAGCAAATAAATTATTTAAATATTAAGGTGTAATTGCAGCAAATAAGATGTAATTTTTATCGCTAAAATAATAAAACTGATATAAGCAAACCACATTTTATTTTATCTTTAAAAAAGTATGAACAGTTTCTTGTACCCTTAACTACATATTGTTATGCTTACTAGATTTTTAAATAAGGAACTAAAATCCCCTTGAGTATGTAACCTTCCACAATAAGATAGGACTCTCCATCCATCTACTACAAAAAATATCCAATGTGAAAATCTCACTAATAAAATAGATATTATGCAATTTTTCTCAATAAATAACTATACAAGTATCACAAATATGGCAGAAAAAACTATCTTTGGATAAGAAAAATTAACAGACACCCTATTATAAGTCCCCACTTCCAGGATATTTCTTATATTTACTGTTTTTAGCTGGGGGACAATAGCAGGCATTTTTCTGAGCATCAAGATATGATTTACAACCAAGTGTTAGTGTTCCAGTAAACAACAACTTTGCTGCAGCTTTGCAACCTGAAATGGAATTATAGTATTGTTAGTAACACACAAAACAATGAAATTATTAAATAATAAACAATTATTATTACAAGAACGTCATACCTTTAGTAATCGTATCCCCCGCAACATTAACAGTTTTGTAACTGTCACAGTAGTTATAGAGGCACCTCTTAAAATCCAAATCACAGGTTTCTTTACCACTATTACATGTGTCATAGCAAATATCGTGACTATCACAACACTTAGTCATTTCTTCTAATGGCAAGTATTCTGATGCAATTTCAAAGCCAAGAGATCCACAGCCATCTGATTTAGGGATGTGGTTTCTATTGCGCACTGGTCTAGATCCTGAAAAATATATGTATTTCATCAGTGACTGAATTTGGGCACATAAAATGTTTTGAACAAATGTAATATCCTTCTCCTCCATCAATTTAATAATCATAATAATACTACTACTGGTCGGCTCCTATGTTTTTATACATATTTTTAAATATTATTTTTTTATTTTATAAGTAGTATTTAAAAATGTAATTTGTAGAGAATTTTAAATAAATATATGTAAATAATAATAAAACATACTGTACATACCTTCAGGGCAATTAAATATACATTCCTCTTCCACTGCTGCATCAAAAACTTCATGCAACGACTTGAATTTCTCAGCCACTGTTATAACATTCTTAAACATATCTCCGAAAACTGACTCAGCCGATAGTACTGCATCTTTTAAATTCCTTAACATACTAGAGCCCATGCCCGTATACGCATAGGCTACGAAAGTTAAAACGTAAATCGCAATCTTTCTGTATGGAATCTCCATGTTTATCAAAATTACCGCGATGGTCTTATGAAAAATAATTACATTTTCAGCCAAAGCTGCTTTTACACCTCTCTACTGAGTGCTTTGAGTACAGTACACGTAATTTTTAAATCTTACTCTTGGAAAATAGCCAAAACAAAAATGTCAAAATACAACCATATAGTTGTCATCTTTCTTCAACAGCTGATTTAAATAGTCGAATCAGCACAGAAAGTAAACCTTCATAGTCGATTTACAAGAAATATATTTTTTTATTTAGTATGGCAACATCTTCGGTTGTTCAACGTCCGGTAGCCATACTGTTTTAAAAAGTTATCCTTTTCCGTTTTGTTGTCGTGAAAATGACGGGCTTTAGCAATAAGGTGAGAAGAAAAATTATGAAAATATAATTAAAAGCCACAATAATTGTTAAAGTGAATATAAAACTTAACTACCGACTTCAATGTGATCTACATTGTAACATTTTAATAATATCCGACGTGTGACAAATTCGACAACATGCATCGAGCGTGCATCACACGTGCTCTTTCGTGTCTGACTTTGATTATGAAGAGTTATTGTAAAACACCATTTATATTAACTGTATTACAAGAAATTCCGGGACTCCAGTTTCAAAAATTGTGTCAATTACCACTAAAATCTCGAATAGTGTTATAACTTTTGAGGTTATGCTGTACGTCAGCGGCAGTTAACTTCTGTGAATTTTTGTGTTCTAGGCCATAGTGATCGATGGCCGTGGCCATCTCCTGGGCCGCCTGGCCGCAGTAATTGCTAAGGTCCTGCTAGAAGGTAACAAAGTCGTAGTCGTACGATGTGAGCAGATCAACATCTCTGGCAACTTCTTCAGGTAACAACATTGCCCATATTTGTGTTTGTTTGTAGAATTTAGTCATGGAAATTGCTTTTATTTGTGTTACATTTACTGCAGCAGCGTTAGGAACTATAAGTCTTGTTGTCCAAATTTCCACAGTTTGAGATAGCACATTGTAATATTTGAATGTCTATTGATAAATCCACATTGATGTGATTGAAGTGCTAATACAGGAACATGTGCATGCTTAGGGCATGAGAACAAAATATGGTGTGATATTCCCAATGCTTGCATATTGTTTTGATGTATAATTATCTTTTTGGTAGTTTTTGTAAAACACTCTTAAAGGAAGTTGAACAATAACTCATCACTTTACCGCAGTTCTAACAATAAAATGATGTTTCATTGGGTAATTTGCGACTGAATATTGCAAGATATATGTTGTTAATTATAATATTTATCTGATAATGTTTACATTGCTGTTCATAACTGCTATAATTTATCCAAAGTATTACAATTATTTTTTTATATTCCAGGAACAAACTGAAGTTCATGTCCTTCCTCCGCAAGAGGTGCAATGTGAACCCAGCTCGTGGACCTTTCCACTTTAGAGCTCCTTCCAAGATCCTGTGGAAGACTGTCAGAGGTATTTATTACCTTCACTTAGTTTCTTTCAATCTTTATTTTAATGAGATTAAAAAGGCCAGCAACTAAGCTAAGATCACCAGGTTAGCAATCAGTGGCACATGGACACCTGTGACACCAAAGGAGTCACACATGTGTGTTGCCAGGCTTTTGCCAATATTCAAACAAAGACCATCTATCCAAAGACATTAGTGTATCTATCCATGTACACTTACGTCCAATTTCAATAACCTATCTATCTGTAGATTTGCTTACTAGAGATAGATTTTTAACGCTTTTTGTATGGAGCTCATGTCAAAATTCTATCTCTAGTAAGCAAATCTACAGATAGATAGGTTATTGAAATTGGACGTTAGTAAATTTTGTACTTACTCACACTTATACACATGCTAATGATTACTATTATCTACCTACATTATTTGATGTTTATGATGTAAAAAATATTATGAAGTTTATCTCAAAACAAATTCATTCTGCATTTTTAAAGATCAATGCTAATGTGTGTTCATTTTCCAGGCATGATCCCACACAAAACTGAGCGCGGAAAGAGCGCGCTGAGGAGGCTTCGCGCGTACGACGGTTGCCCACCACCCTATGACAACCGCCGTCGCGTTGTTGTACCTGCCGCTCTCCGTGTCTTCTGCTTGAAGCCCGGCCGTAAGGTATGTCTACCATCATTTTTAACCAATATTTCCTTAGATTTAAACTTTATTGATAAAAGAAAATGTTCACAAAAAAGCTGTCTTTGACACAAATAATCTTACAATTAACATTGATGAATAAGTTTACAATGATGTTTCATTTGGGTAATTTGCGACTGAATAACCATGTTGCAAATTTTTAATTTTCTGAGATCCTTGTTATACCTATGTCAACATTTCATAAAAGTTGCATGGATTAATTTGATTAATTGATGCTGTAGTACTGTCACGTCGGCCGCCTGTCTCACGAAGTAGGCTGGAAGTACCGCGATGTCGTCCGCAAGCTCGAGAACAAGAGGAAGGTCAAGTCAGTCAAGCTTATGGCCTATGAGAAGAAGTTGAAGGTTTGTTTCAAATAGTATACTAATAATTTTTTAATCAGCTCTAAATCTCTTTTAACACTTGCTAAATGATGATTACATTCTTACCTACATTATTTGAATTCAAATGAAAAGAAACCTTTACTGAGCAATATCTTATAAAACAATAATTAGTAGTGTAGCTTGAGGAGAAATCTAAAATTATTCTTTTTGTCTACACAGAGGATCACGAAGGAATCCGGCGACAAGGTTGCGAAGACGACTGCACCATTCACCACAGTGATCCAATCCTATGGATACAATTAGGATTAAGACATAAATATAAAAACCTTTGGTTGCCCAAAACTGTATTTTTATTATAAACCCATCAACCTCTAATATAGAGTTACAGCTGGAGTATAAATATGTTTACAGTATTTTTTAGTTTGTCTAATAATCTAATATATTTTTAAATTCACAAAAATTATGGAGAGATGCTTCCATATAGTATTTATGCAACGTAAACTAGTTGAACTGCCGGGCCGTGGGACAACGGGTTCGATTCCCGATGGTGCAGACTATTAGGTATGTGCAATTATTGTGACTCGGGATTTATTTGCAAAACCTTGTAGAAGAGTAGGTTGTAATTGTAAAGTAATGAACAAGATGAAATACTGCCGAATTTCAACAAGTTAGAAGAGAACAGGCTTTTCCGTAAGATGTCAATTCGAAGTGAGCTCAATCGTGGTCCACCGTGTTATCGGTTGTAAGAATAATCTCGACCAATAACGGGGGAGAATGCGATCGAACTCGCTTCAAGGATTCGAATTGACAACTTACAAAATAGCGTCGCCGATCCTTGCCGTAACGAATTGGTTGTACGATGCACGGACAGTGACTGCTACGTAAAATCTTGAGTTTCATTCCCACATGTAATAACTGTGGGATCTACCAATTATTGTTCCGGATATGTTAAAGGCATCGTCGGGACGGCAGGGCGTGCGGTGGAGTTCCTTTGCGCGCTTGTAGACTTGATCCAGAAAGGATAGAATTAGGTATATTATTTTGCTAGCCTCTTTTTGTCAACGGCTTCGCCCACGTTCTCAGGGGTAAAAAGTAGCCTACCTATGTGTTAAGAACCTAACGGGTTACCGGGGCTCCGGCTCGAAGTGCAGGAGTAGGAACGGGGTGGTTTTTAGTCAGTAAGAGTCTGACACTCACTCCCGCCGAGTCCCGCCTCACCCAGGCGGGAGAAGCCTATCGATAATTTTCCCCCTTTAAAGAAAAAGACCATAATCTACCTCTGTTCCACATTTCGTCCAGGTCCCTTTAACCGTTTTGAAGTGACTGAGTAACAAACTCACATATTTTCACATTTATAATATCGATTCACGCTAATTTCAACCATGCATCGGCCCTACAGTTACAGCTTAAAGTCCACTGCGGGTAACCTAACATTCGACAAACTTATATTTGCGTTTCATACAGTAACTTTGTATAGGGATTGAGCCGCACAATTAAGTTTGTTTTTTCGTGTAGATATATAAGTCTTGTGTCCAGGATATTAAAGTATAATCATAGGTACAAAGTTTCATCGTAATCGGACCGATAGTTTTTGCGTGATGCGTGATGTGTGAACATATAGACATACATTTATTTGTTGTCTATCTAGTAACAACCCTCACTGTTTTTTTAATATTTTCAATGTACAGAATTTACTCTTCTACTCTACAATTTCATTATAAGTATATTGTAGAGGTATAGATGTGTACATGGACCCATTTTGCCAGACTATCGTATCATACAATAGGGATAAAAATTTCTTTAATTTTAGAACAAGATCTCTAGAGTAGGAAGAGCCATGCTTCGGTACGAATGGGCCACCGGCGTGGTACTTACGGCCTCATAGAAAACCGACGTGAACCTCTTGCGTGGTATTTCGTCATGTGAGTGAGGTTACCCAAAGCCCAATTACCCCCCTCCCCAATCCTGAAAATGCCTATATCTACATGCGTAATAACGCATTTGTAACACCTCTGGTGTTTCGGGTGTCCATGGGCGGCGCCGACTGCTTACCATCAGGTGATACGGTCGCTCGTTTACCGGGTTATTCCATAAAACAATTGAGATAATTACCTACCTGTAGCAAGATTTTTATAGGAACTAAGAACAAGATCAATAGGTACACACGGCCACACATCATGACATCAATCTATACAAAACCAGTTTATCCTGGTGTCGCGTCGCATCATCTTTCCGCACATTCTACGTTCAGTTTATACTGGTTATGTAAAGCTCGATGTGTAGCCATGTGTACTAAGCTATCCTACCCTCGTAAATTATATCACTTACGTATTAGTAAGTTTCCATCGAAAGGTATTGGTACATAATTTTAGTTGAATTTGTTAAGTTTAAGATTTTATAAATGGCCCCATTATGACTAAGGTCATATCACATCGACCATATCCTCAATCAATTAGTAGTAGTGTTACAAAGAAGTCTGCCTTGTTAGTCGAGTGGTCGCAAGTGCGACTACCGGACAAGGGATCTCGGGTTCGATTCCAGGGTCGAGCAAAATATTATTGGGTTGTTTAAAAATTCTCAGTAGTAGCACGGAGTCTGGAATTGTGCCCGGTATATGACAATAGACTCACCCCTTATTAGACTTATAACATAAATAGTGGAAAGTGGGTGCTACATTGTAGGTACAGCGGCATTAAGTGCCACAATGTGCACCTCTGCCTACCCCTTCGGAATAAAAGGCGTGATGTAAAGGGAGTAAAATTCCGTGATTTTGTAACATGTCTTGATTTAGGTTACATTTTCATAGTTGTTAATATTTCTGTGGGTATAGGTACCCATTGCACGTTTTTCACCCAGACTAAAGACGGGACAATCTATGCTATCATCGTAAAATAAATATCAGTAGATTAGGTACCTACTGAACTTACTTAGGTTAAGCCACTTTACGTACCTACCTACCTACCTTTGCCTTTACTTTTCTAGGTGAAGAAACCGGTGGCTACCGGGTTGTCTCCCCAAAAACCTAAGCGTCTTTTGCAGGTACCTAGTCAGGGTAAAAATCTCGTGGTATTCAATAACATGGGGGTGCGGGTTCGAAATCTGGTAAGTATACGGACTTTTTCCGAGATAAAACTCCCACAAAATCACAAGACATCATTAAAATTCTTATGGTGAAGAAATACGTGAAGAAACTGGGAACTATGTTATAATTTCCAATTTTAAGTTTGAATTAGCCAATCTGCCTTCAGCAAGCGTGGCGATTAGTGGTCATAGGTACCTTCCTAGTGGGAGAAGAGACCGTAAAATTGACATAGGCTGATAACCTAGCTAGGCATCTAGCACCTAACTATTTACATTTAATTTTGGAGTACTTATCACTTACACAAAAAAAATATGAAAAATCATGTCCTTTGTGGGAAATATAGTGAAAACAATCTAGAAATAACCCATTCTGTATTGACGTCATAGGAAATCAATTTATGGATCCCATTTATTGCTTCAGCGGATTCGATCAGATAATTATTTTACGCGCAGGGACAAATTTTCTTGTGCAGCTGTGTCCTGCGATAATACTTGCTACTCGCGACATTACAAGTTTGAACGGTTTTGATACTTTCAACTTTTATTCAAAAATAACAACTAAGGTGGCTTGATACAGTATATGTATGTATGTAGATAAGCATTAATTAATCGGATAAATCTATTATCACGTGGTCGGCGCCGGCGTGCCACAATTCTAGGCCCAGCTTTTTAAGAATTAATTATCATTATATCGCCAATATCCCAATAGGTATACCTAGAAATCCTACCTGCTAGTCCAACTCGATTATGCACAATATTATAATGATGGTAGCCGTAAAGAAGTACATATTGTATAAAGCCAAGAAGAACCTCGCTTCATCTTCGTAGCAGTAAGCAGTCTAGGATCTAAATTGGATAATCCTCATTGAAATCGCATAGTGTGTGGGAAGCTGAAAATTGAATGCGTTCTAGCGCCTAATAAGTATTGAATCGATAGTCTCCGAAGCCGTATATAAGCTGGCCCCAACGTTTCAAAATTCAGTTCGGAAGCGTCCGCCATCGGTACACTTTCAACCAATTCATCGCGAAAGGAAGAAAACTACACCACACAGCACACAGTTACTATGAATAACTGGCGTTTACTACTACTTGCGGTAGTCGCGGTTTTTCAACCTATTGCATCTTTCACCGATCGTAACCTCATTGATGGAAGGCAACAGTGTTGTGATCGTCTTTCACCAACTCTGCTTCAAGATACAAGGTCTTCGTTTTATGGAACACACCGGCTCGCCAAAACTTCTTCGGTCTTAAGACGTCTGAACAATGGTGAGGAAATTCATGAAGATCGACGTTATGAAGTGAAGCAACGTGACTATAGCCGTTCTATGACAGAGAAACCACCGATAGATAACAAAGAGAGGGTTTTACGACTAGCACCCTCTGTCTCTCCCGAGTCACGTGTGGACGGTCGTGAGAACTCCTTTAGTCGTGAGCGCCTTCTAGATGTACAACAACGACAGGCAATTACTCAATCTACTCGAGACCTCAAACCACAGGATCTAAACCGTAGAGTTGTGCTTCGCACTTCTAGGTATGCCGTAGAACGTCGGGATGGCAGGATCTCCACCGAATCAACATATGACAGGATGGTTAGAGACGATCATCGAATTGGACGCAGTTTTCAACGAGAAACACAAAAAGAACAATTCAGATACGAAGATCGTAGATTATCCCGGAATAATGATCTACGACGTTTTCTCAGTCAAGCAAGACCTGAAGTAGACAGAATTCAACCTGAAAGCGGTATGATTAATCGACGTGTTACAAGGGAAAGGCTCAGTATGGCTCGACGCGAAGATTTGCAACCCATCCGCGAACAAATTTTTGGAGAACACCGAGAGACCAAAACTGAAGATCGACGAGAAATAAGGTTATCTACACGATCTTTTAACTCAGAAAGTCGAAACATCCGTGAACTGAGGGACGAGTCCAGAGCAACCCGAACTGCCGATAAAGAGGGACGACATTCTCGCGAAATGAGGGATGAACCTAGACTGAGTCGATTTGATACAACAGAACGACGATCTGCTGACAAAGAAACCCGAAATACTCGAGAAATGAGGGTAGTTATAGATGTAGAACGTAGAAATTCCCGTGAAATGAGGGACGAACCTAGGCTGAGTCGAACTTCTTCCGTAGAACGCCAAAATACCCGCAAAATGAAGGATGAATTTAGGTCAAGCCGATCTGTTGACGAACAACGTCGAAACTTCCGCGATGTCAGAGCCGGATTGAGTTTAAGCCGATCTGCAGGCGCAGAACGCAGATACGGTCGTGAAATACGCGGTGAAACTCAAACTGGTAATGATGAACACCAAAACTTCCGTGAAATAAGAGACGAACCTAGACTAAGCCGAACAACTTTTGTAGATCGTCGAAATATCCGCGAAATACGGGGTGCATCTAGACTAATACCAACTGCTCCTGTAGAACGCCGAAATACTCGTGAAATGAGGGACGAAACTAGGTTAGACTCATCTACTGAAACAGAACGCCAGAACTTCCGCGAAATACGAGGATCCAGGCTCAGCCGATCTGCTGATGGAACACGCCGAAATACCCGTCAAATAAAAGACGTTACAGACGAAGACCACCAAAATACACGCGGCATGAGGGTCGGACTCAGTAGATTCGCTGGCTCAGAACATAGGAATTCTCGGCAAATAAGGGAAGAATCGACGTTAATCCGATCTACTGAAGCGGTACGTAGAAATTCCCGCGAAATGAGGGACGAAGCTAGGCTAAATCGAAATGCTGAGAAAGAAACCAGGGATATCCGTGAAACAAAAGAGGAATCCAGGATAACCCGATCTGCAAACGTAGACCGTCGAAATACCCGCGAACTGAGGGACACACTTCGGCTGAATCGAAATACAGAATCAGAACGCCGAAACTCTCGTGAAATAAGACAGGACTCTAGGTTAAGCCAATCTGCTGATGAAGAACCCCAGAACTTCCGTTATGTAAGGGCCGGACTGAGACAAAGCAGATCAATTGACGTAGAACTAAGGAATACTCGCCAAATGAGGAAAGAATCTGGATTAGACCGATCCGCTCCCGAAGAACGCCGAAACATGCGTGAAATAAGAGAAACCATTGACGCTGAACGCCGAAACTTCCGAGATGTTAGATTTATTAGGTCTGCTGATGTAGAACGTAGGAATTATCTGGAAATGAGGAAAACTACTAATGACGAACGCCGAAACTTGCGCGACATAAGGGGCGGACTACGACTAAGTAGATCTGCCAACGCAGAGCCATCATTTGAAACTGAACGCCAGAACTCCCGTGATATAAGGGAGGAATCAAGACTAAGCCGAACTGACAGAGAACGCCGAAATACTCACGATATTAGGGCCACACTTAGACTAAGCCGATCTGCTGATATAGAACGTAGGAATTCACGTGAAATAAGAGACGATTCTAGACTTAGCCTATCTGGTGCTGATGAACGCCGGAACTTTAGAGATGTAAGGGCTGGAGTGAGGCTAACCAGATCTGCTGATACAGAACGTAGACAGTCCCTTGAAATGAGGGACGAATCTAGGTTAGGTCTATCCGCTGCCGTGGAACGTCGAAATACTCGCGAAATGAGGGAAACTACTGACGAAGAACGCCGAAACTTCCGTGACGTAAGGCTAACTAGATCTGCTGACACAGAACGCAGTCAATCCCGCGAAATGAGAGACGATTCTAGACTTAGCCGATCTACTTCTGAGGAACGCCGGAACACCCGCGAAATGAGAGAAACTACTGACCAAGAACGCCGAAACTTCCGTGACGTAAGAGTCGGAGTAAGGCAAAGCAGATCTGCTGACACAGAACGCAGTCAATCCCGCGAAATGAGAGACGATTCTAGACTTAGCCGATCTACTTCTGAGGAACGCCGAAACACCCACGAAATGAGGGAAACTGCCGATAAAGAACGCCACAACTTCCGTGACGTAAGGGCTGGAGTAAGGTTAACTAGATCTGCTGACACAGAACGCAGTCAATCCCGCGAAATGAGAGACGATTCTAGACTTAGCCGATCTACTTCTGAGGAACGCCGAAACACCCGCGAAATGAGAGAAACTACTGACCAAGAACGCCGAAACTTCCGTGGCGTAAGAGTCGGAGTAAGGCAAAACAGATCTGCTGACACAGAACGCAGTCAATCCCGCGAAATGAGAGACAATTCTAGATTTAGCCGATCTACTTCTGAGGAACGCCGAAACATCCGCGAAGTGAGGTCAACTACTGACGAAGAACGCCGAAACTTCCGTGATATAAGGGCTGGAGAAAGGCTAAGCAGATCTGCCGACACAGAACGCAGACAATCCCGCGAAATGAGGGATGAATCTAGGTCAGGTCCATCTGCTGCTATAGAACAAAGACAATCCCGTGAATTGAGGGACGATTCTAGGTTAGGCCGATCTGCTTTCTTAGAACGCCACAATGCCCGCGAAATTATAGAAACTATTGATGGAGAACGCAGAACGAATTTCCGTTACATAAAAGCTGGAGTGAGGCTAAGTAGATCCGCTGTCGACGAACACAGTCACTCCCGCGAATTGAGGGACGAATCTAGATTAGATCGATCCACTGCCATTGAACGCCGGAATACCCGCAAAATGAGGTTAATTACCGATGAAGAACGCCGAAACTTCCGTGATGCAAGGGCTGGAGAAAGGCTAAGTAGATCTGCCGACACTGAACGCAGACAATTCCGCGAAATGAGGGATGAATCTAGGCTAAGTCGAAACTTCCGTGAAGTTAGAGATGAATCCAGGCTAAGCCAATCTATTGATTTAGAACGCCGTAGCAAAGTACACCACGACAGAACGGAACTTGGCAAGAAAAATGAAAACAGAGAACGAGAGGTAGTTGAAGCTCGTCCGCAAAATGTACTGCTGTCCAGAAATCGAGACCAAGTTTCAATGATGATCAACAAAATAGAATCAGAAAAAGATTTTACCACAGCTAACTGGCAATATGTTCTGTATACATTGCAAGCTGCATATTTGTGCGCCCTCTTCCTGCAGTTACTGAAACCAAGTTACACAGAAAAGCCACATTTCAGGTAATAGATCAGAAATATAATCTATCCCAGAATCAATGTACTTAAATGTTTTGGTTTTTGATAAACTAACAAAATGTTCGTTTTGTTTACAGGAGTTTCCGTTGGCTGCCTGTATCTTCTCACTACAACCCTATCAAAGTGGACTAAACGGCTATGCTATATTGACATCTGTAATCTCTACTTACTAATGTTTTAATCTTATTTATAGTATATATTCAATGTTATTACGATCTCTTATTCTAATGTATTAATAGAAAATAAATTATCGTGTGTTATAACTGATTATTTACTTATTTACCAAGCCCTTGAGATAACTAATTAAGATAACTGAACTTATAAACAAAATAATTTATATGAACATTATGGTATTAAATAATAAAACTAAAATATAATAAATCTGATTCCATTTATTCATATTACTTCACATATTTACTCTATTTGCAAGCTTATACATTATTCTACAGGTCTAGAGTATCTGATTTCTTCTTATGCTGTCCCTCATACCAAGCCTTTGAAATCATTCTCTTCATTTCATCATCACCAGTCTCATACCTGAAAGTGAATAGTACAATTACATTAAACACATTCAAATATCCAAACAATTCCTACATACAAATAATAATTATTAATTCAAATGCTATTGAATATCGTAACTTAATACAATAATCACACCAGTATATGACATCATTTAATTTATAATTTAATGCTTATATGTATTATGTATGTTGTATTATCTTAGAGCACTATCTCTATTATCCATTTTTAACAAAGTATTTCATTTCAAATTGTAAAGCTTATGACATATTATTATATGTTAAAATAACATGAAGGCTATAAAACTTAAACCATAAAGAGACAAAGGATCCAGTTAGCAAACTATCAAAAATGCTAGAAGAAAAGTAAACAATTAGGTACATTCACAACACCAAAGGGCTGAGTATGAGGTTGTATTAAGTTTAAAATAATTGAAACAAAACCGCATTCAGCATTCTGATTGGCCAGGTCCAATGTACCAACCTAAAATAGACTCTATAATATGCTGCTGGAAAATGTAAACACAATAATTGATAATAGTACTTACATGTTTTTCATAAGGCTCATAATGGACTCCTGTGGATCTGCTTTATCCATGTCAGGGGTTGCAGGCTTAAGTTTACTGTTGCGCTGGTCTTCAAACTTCTTCTCAAGCTCTGTCATGTGGGACCATTTAATGTTGGGGCGTGCCTTAGCTAGGAATATGACTACCATATCTGCAGAAAAATGTTTAGATTAATATTTTTCCAGGTTAGTTAAGACAATGAGTAATATTATACATTTAAGTTCTATTTTTAGCATATTTAACATAAATCATTTTAAAAAGATATACAAAATTAGTTTTTATATAAAACATAACAATAGATTATTTGAAAATTTTATTCAGCAAATAATTTTTATTTTCCACTTCCCTTTGTAACAGCGGGATGTGTACAAGCAATCTGTACATCTGTGTAAAATATTAGAGATGATTGTGCTCACATACCTGTTTTCTGTTTCCAATGGCTTTCTTCAACATTGATGGAGTCCAATAGTTTGTTGATAACAAGCAGGTAGTCCTTGTTGTCCAAGTTTTCAACATGTAACTCCATAGATTTATCTGTTAACTTACAGTAAACTTGTTCCTTGGGTAGAGACTGAACATCCTTTAGTGTGACGAAAACTTTTATGTACTTATCGGACTGATCCCAACCTGAAAAAATTAAGATAAATAAGAAGAAATTGAGAAAAATGCTTGTAGCTTGAAGGTAAGTTGAGTGAATTAATCGATGACAGAATGAAAGATCTCTCTCTTAGGAATTGAAAATATATTGTGATTTTTCTCTTGTATGTATTAGTAAGTCGTAAAAGGTTGTAAGATTTCGATATTATTTCAGTTTACCCACAAATTCAGTTCAATGTCAGAAATATCCAACAAGAAAGTTTTATTATTAAATTATAAAGTCTAATAAGATTCTCATTCGTATCGATTGTTATCATTAGAGTACCAGAATAAGAATATTGAGGTAGCATGACGAAGCTACTTTACTAACCATATCCATTCAGTTTAATTTGGTATCTCTTAGGTTGTGAAGTCGCTGCGGTGGACGGTGCCGGCGAGGTTCCAGCTTGCGAGGATTGTGCACTTTCCTTCAAATTTAACCATTCCGTTTCCAATTTCCTAATTTCTAAGGACAGCAAATCTTGAGCTCTCTTTCTTTTAGCCTGTTTTAGTAACTCATTCAGCTCTTCGATATCACTGCGTAACTATGAATAAATAAATATCATGAAGTAACTTAGGTTATAATATAAATGTATTTTTCTGGCGTCAATTTCAACTTATTACAAACCTCTTTCATTTTAGCTTCAGACATTTTTACGGCTTTATTTTCTTTAACTTTTAAGAATTATGTACGTAATTAACTAATTTATATTGTTTACTCGCACTAAGCAATTATTCACAGTCAAAGCGTAATATATTTCACACGAAAATAATTATCAAAAAATGTTTGAATTTGACTCGGAAAACAGACAGACACACTTTACCGAACCGAATGAATGATTCAGAAAATCGAATCGTTCTAGAAATTAGAATGCGAACGAATGAAGTACAGTTCTAGAAATAAATAAATGGGACATTTTTAGGGTTAACAATGTTGCCAACTTGAAAAAATATAATCATTCGATTTTTCTAAACATAATTAATTATTGATTTGTTTGTTCTTTGTTCCTAGCCATTGGCCTTTTCCCAATTATCCGGTATCCGCTATTCGCCAGAACAGAATCACTAGCCACCCTTCCAATTTATGGATTGCGACATATGGAGCTCTCGGAGTAACCAAATTCTAAAAACACTCATTCACTCATTTATTTCTTCTTAGTGTGAGAAGAAGCCAGTGCTCAATGCTCAGTTGACCGTCCACCACCAGCTATAGTTAGTTTAGCTCGCATAGTCGAGACAGTTTTTCATACATGTGCGCCCACCGCAACCTAATCCTATGCCAGCTAAGATGCCATGAAAACAATGTTTTTTTCTCAATCGGTTTTCTCTCGAGGTTTTATCTTTCACCGTTTTATTGATGCAATCAATCCTTGTAACCGATATATTTTAGCTAGATATCTACCGCCGTGATGTTACCACTCTGGAAAGTCTCTAAAGAATCAGGGAATTGATAACCCCAAAAACCCAACATTGTAACATGAATGAGATAATATTGTTGGCATTTGAAAGTTAGGTTTAACATATTATAACTAAAAGAATATTTTTTGAAATGACACAGTGTTGATCATGGAATTATTTATTCACAGTAACTAGGTATACAGGTAGATTAATGGCATAATGAAGAAAAGAGATTAAACATCAAGCAATAACATCGTCGTAGAGAGTTCAGTTCTTTCGGTGGGTGCGGTTGCGACGCATAGCACCTTGACACTGTGGACAGTACCATTTGCCTTTCGGTGGGGCGGTGATACCCACACACGGATAGTGAAACCACTCATATGGGCACTGGAAATTAAAATTATAAAATATATTATATTTGATGCGAAATAATTACGCCATTAGTGTTTAATTAAAAAGAAATACAATAAAATTATACTTACATCCTGATTATCACAGGCGACCATGTCACCGTATGATACCTGATTGCAAATACAGTAGCGAGGTTCGTTGGGATCGTATGTCCATTCCTCCTCCATTGGCTCTTCAATAGCAACATTGTTCACGACGTTGTTCATGGCCCTAGAAAAATAATCTTGTACTTTAGTACTCATGAAATACTTGGTAATTTATCAAACCATGTGAGGTATAGTAAAGTATTTAGATACGTACACAACTGTAGGTGAAGATGACCGACTAGCAGCCGATGCGACGGCCTGCTGAGAATGGGCCGACACGCCGGTGGAGCTGTAACTATTGCTTTTCCTAGGGTGAAACAGAAAAAGTTAATAGGCAGCCAACATGAAACAACATCTTGCAGGGGAGTCCAGTTAATTGGGTAATTGTCGAAAAGTGAAACCTTGTGAAGATGGATATTTTATTAGGTACTCTTTCGTATAAAAACTACTGAACAAATTAAGATGAAATTATTAAAATTGGGATTTTCGGGAATTGTGTTTTATACACAATATGTTAACGTGGACGGGGAATAAAACATAAATTCAACTCACTTTTGTTTGTTCCTCTTAGTAGAAGAAGATGAAGTATTGTGACCATGAGCAGTAGTGTGATGTCCATGAACACTGTTGTTCTGACTATGGCTTGATGCCATGCCATGTCCTGTAGAAGGTAAATTAATTATATAAAGAAGTTTATTACTATAAAAAACACGAATTTTGAAAACGAATATCCATAATATAGATATATATGTACATATAAAACTTGAAATTCTTTTTAGGTACTTGTACAAATCACTAACATTAGTTTAGACATAAATATACCAGCCGGCCCTTAGCGTGCTAATAAAAAAATATACTTTTTTGATTTATTCGATCTTGGGATCCTACCTAGTCCGATCCTAGATTTATTTTAGCTGTAAAAAATAATGGTTCACCTAAGATTTGCAGTCGCAAACCTATACAGTTGTATCACAAACACCGATTTTACGTACACATCACACCCAGACTCAGAGCAATAATTTGTAAATTTGTAATTCGCATAAAACAATTATTGTTCCAAAAGGGAATCGAACCCGCGACACGTTACGCAGCGGCTCGCTGTCTAGCCATTGCGCCAACCGTGCAGTCAAAAGATTTCAGCAAATTTCCTAATAGGAAGTTTGTAATCAGTGTTCTACCATGGTCGTGATGTGTGTGGTGTGTCTGCAAGGTATGGTGTGCCAGTTCACCGCCCGCCACAGCCTCATACGAAGCTTTCAGGGAGGCCGTGCGGCGACCGTGCTGCATCTGTAAATATTTTACATTGCAACATGACACGATATGCTCTAAAAAGTAACGAACTTCTATAATAACCCCTTTAAGTATTATAAAAAAATAGATATCTTGTCTGGTATATTTTAAAGCTTTTTAGTTAAGAATCTGAAAAATTCAATCGAATTTAGCGCAGCATGAAAACTATATTCAAATAGCAAGTACGCTAATTAACTTACCTGTTGAGTAGCTGCTATAGCTTGGCTAGCGGCAGCTGCAATAGCACTACCCGCA